TTGTAGCGAAAGCCAGAATAAAACGCAATCCAACTCTTAATCCCAAACCGATCCGAAAGGATCCATTCAATCTGCCAACGCTCCGTTAAGAACAACTCTCTATGTGAGAGCATGTTCCTGCAGTTCCTAACAAACTGCATCGTTGGAAAAGGCCAAAATTCCTGTTATGCTGCCCCCAAATTAATACAATCTATCTTGACGTGATCTCTTGTTCGTTAAACCTTTCTCTCCGATGGGCTATAAGTCTCTATTCAGGCCTCTGATTCGACAGCCTATTCGAAATAGTCAAGTGACCAAAGGATCTGCTTCAATGTAGTTAGTTCCTTTCCCCTAATTACAGAAAGAGGCGTACTTATCCCCTGCCCGGAGGGGTTGCCTCAATACTTTGGGCAGAAGTATGAGACAACCCAGGACTACCAACCATATGGCCTGTCCTTAAACTCAATTCCCAAATGCCCTGACCGTCACCCACTAGAAAGTCCAAATCATGTACAACCAAAAAGCTATCGAGTTAGGCCCATTCAAGAATCTGACAAAGTAATCAATGCTACCCATGATAGACAAGCACTAAGCTTTGACACCAACACGAGATGGGTCCCATCATGGACACTGAAGTACTTTTCATCATCAGAAATGAGTGATCTAAAACTATCCCGATTTGGTGCAACGACTTTAGGACAGTCTATCATCACATTCCATCATTCGCGCTTTACAAACAAATAATTCCAAAACTAACACCTTAATCAGCCCCTGTACAATTAAAACCCCTTTATGAAGTGATCATCTTGATTCGAGATCATTTCAGCGGCGAGCGACATAGACGATCAAGTACCTCAGCGTGATTCGAAAAACCTCTCTCTGTTTGAAAAGTATAGTCCACAAAGATAAGTTTTTGATTCCTCTGCAAGAAAGCAGGGCACAAACGGACAAAAGACATCAACAAAAGCCGTGATCATCTCTAACAGCTACGAAAGAGGAATAGTGGTAACAAACATCCGAAAATGTTGTCCCAAAATACCGGCGTCTTCCATCACTCTAATGTATGTTGTAGAGGAGAAAGTTAATGCGGTGATCGTAGTTACATTCAAATGAATGACAAAGCCTATGGTTGATACCGCGGCAATGGTCTTGAGAAATGACTGCGTACATAAATGTACGAAGCACTGAAATGAGAAAGGTTGGAGACAAGATTCACCCCCCGAAGGAGGTAGAATACAATGGAAACGGAGTAGCTTCACCATTATCAAACCACGTTGACTCATCTCTCTAGATGTCCATAACAAAAATGTCGAGAGGCATTGACTTCCGGAGCATGGTAATACGATTTTCTTCAAATGATAAAGCATTTGAAGGACAATTCTTCTTGTAATCTCCATTCCCGAGACCACCCACAGGAGTGAGTTTTTGATCAAGGGAATATGTGGAAATGTACAATCCGAACAGCCTGTTTGTAATCTTCAATGAATATTCTGCTCAGCCTTTGCCCCTTGGATATCCTCATCATGTAACCTTCGAGAGTGTATAGAGAAAATGAGACGATTCGTAATAGCTTATATGAAGACCCTCATGATACCTTCTCGCAGAAGAACCAGTTCCATCTCAAATTGTATCTTCTTTCTCGAATCAACTTGCATTATCATCGAAGACAACCATATTGATCAAAGACGTCCAGCCGATTTCCCTGACGGAGCGTCCCTACGCGGGCTCTTACTGGAATAGCTCATAGCAGAAATCAGTTTTATCGTCTTTCGACATCTGGACTATTCATTCAACTTTTCGACCTTTTGTACATTCCTCCATCGCGTAACCTTTCGGCTTCACAATATTGGTCCGAGACAGAATTTCTATTCAGAAGAACAAATCAAAGCCGCAAAGCTTTTGAACCGGCAGTATGCTTAGGGTTAAGTTCTGAATCGTATGATTCCTTTCGGAATATCGAGTCAGAGTCTATAGGGTAGACGATATACTTGGTTTGTGAGGTGAGAGAGGGGTTTCGAATTCGTCGCGTTCAATCGAGGTACTTGGTATCGTAAAGGTAAGCTCGTTGCTATATGATATTCGAATCGAGGTTGAAGCTCTTCGAGTATCAATTCAATGGGAGGATGTAGGTGATGAGTATTGGAGGTTTTTGTGAACAAAGAATTGCAAATGACAATATAAGAGGTGATGATGTTTTTTTTGGTCATGATGATTGGAAGGAGAAGAAGCTGTATGTATGTGCACGCGTTCGCGTAAGGTTGGATGTCGACGCGACACGCTAATTGAAAGCCTAGAATTTTAACCGTTAAGCTTCAAGCTTGAGGCTTCATCTGTTTAGCCTTAGGCCTGCACAATACCAGCTAATGGGTATTTGCCCATCAGTCGAAATTTTGGGGTTTATGTTTATTAGGTATGTGAATTATATATTTCTCTCCTTGCATTGGGACCTTACTTTCCATTCACTCCCGAATAGCAATCATTTCATGCCTACTTCTCGTACCTGTTTTTCATTATCATCGTGTACTCACAAAAGCTCAGAGTGAGCGAGGGAAACACGAGATGCAGCTTGAAAGTTTTCAGCTTAATCTTATAGGTTCCGCAATGATTTCGAACAAGGAAAACATCTGCATTAATGTATGTAAATATGGTAGCTCGGTGGTCAAATCTCACTCAGTCTTATTAGAGTACGATGCTCAAGCTCTTCTGAAGGAATGTGGGTGACGACGCAGCTTATTGAAAATGTCATTCAGGAATAGCTCCCAAACCTTATGTCTTCACGTGGAAATTTCCATTTTCAAAGGGGGTATAAGGGAATGATAGGATGTACTAGGTAGGCTCTCAAGGGGTATACTCTGTGTGCATACATATGAACTTTGGAGATTTTTCGTTCTCATTTGAAAGGTACCAAAAAGTTATTGTCTTCTGTACCGGTGTTATATGAGATACTCGTACTCGATAAAAGAAACATGATCTAGAATACGAAGATATTATTATGGGGGCAAGCCCCTAAGGCACCCTCTACGTAAGCGAAATAAGAGGCGGAAGTTGAGTACCATTCAGAAGGACTTTGAAATTTCGAATCTCTCTTCAATATTGTATTACATATATATAATGAAGGCTCAAATTTTCGTATGATCTTTTCAAAAGCTAGTATTTGACTTGAAATGAATTTATAATTCAATTAAGAAGTTCTTTGAAAGAGGACTTAATTCCCGCCTCTTAATTCGCTTACGCAGAGGCACCATGCCATCTGGGTCTTTTCCACACAGTCTCAATCAAGTCAGCACATACTATACAATATATAAGTCGACCGCCCTACTTTCGGGCCACCCCTATTTTGGGCCACCCTTTTACACCAAAAATCGCTTTTTTGGTTTATTAATATCTCTATCAATATATAATCTAATTTAATAAAAAATTTGAATATATATAATTTAAGTTATTTTAGGTTTATTCTGAAATTTTAGATTTTTAGGATTTTTCTGTATTGAGATTTAGAGTTTTAAAATATCGATTTTTTAATTTGTATGGGAATTATATATAAATTTAAAACTTTTATAAAATCTTTAATAACTTTTTAATAATGATTATTAAAAGAAAACTGTATATCTTTTTGAAAGTTTTGAATTTAAATTTATATAAAAATTCAAAAAAAAATTCAAAAAAATTAACAAATATAGAGATATAGTATGTAGTGAGTTTAGAGTAGTATAAATAATTCTTGTAATTTTAAGGGTATTCTTTTAAATATTTATTTATAAGAAATTTTCTTTTTTTTCTAAATCCTTTAAAATAAATATTTTATAAACTTATAATAAAACTTTTTAGTTTATTTTTAATAATTTTTATTAAAAAGTTATTAAAGATTTTATAAAAGTTTTAAATTTATATATAATTCTTATACAAATTAAAAAATCAATATTTTAAAGCTTTAGATCTTAATACAGAAAAATCCTAAAAATCTAAAAATTTCAAGTTAGATTCAAAACGATCTGAATTATATATAAATAAATTTTCAATAAATTCTATCTATAAATAAGAAAGTTAAAAATTCCATTTTTGGTACAAAAAGTGGCCTAAAAGGGGGGTGGCCCGAAAGTAGGGTACCCGACTTAGTGGATAACCCCTAACCTAAACCTTATCACGACTTATGCCACACGAGTCACCGATGTTTTCAGACACGCATGCAGTTCTATTGCACGTCACCCACTCGAAAGATTTGCTTCACGTTACTTGAGAAATCAACAAGGTCTCTCCAACTTGCACATCACGATCGTGAACGATTTTCAGATTATGCTTCGTAGTCCAAACCGCATGATTCGTAAGATTGAAGAATCAGCCCCAATCGGGGTTGTTTGGAGATCCAGGCCGTGTATCACGACTTCCCGAGAAATGAGGAACATCTTGAAACCGCCACGTTTTCAGGGTTTGTCCAATCCTGCAGAGAATCCCATTCTGACATTCCATTACTTCCCGAGTGAACCTGATTCGAACGATCCAATCTAAGACCTCACTATTAGTTTTTCCATCTGTAGTGGAGCCCCAAAATTGTTAACATATCCCAAGAATAGCTTGCTGATGGCCGTGCGTCTGTTACAGATTCGTCGAATATCCTTGTTCGAGCGTTGATAGAGAGTTCCGAGAGAGGCTCGTCTGAAAATCTTCATCAATGGCATACACGGGTTCTTTCTTAATTTGCTTATTTTTTAGATCAAGCTAGGTTATGATGACATGACGTGAAGATAAGGAGGAAGCTGATTGTAGGTCATCTTGAGGTGTATTGTTCTCTTCTATTGCTGAATGACAATTCTTCTATACACTCCTTTAAAGAATTGCTTCATTTTGCCTTTTACCATTCTTTTTCTTCATTCTTTTAACTTGACATTCTTGGAATCCTCCTATCCTTACCTCTTTACCGTTTGATATGCACGTCTTTTCTTTCTTTACAACATCTTCGTAATACCACTTTTTTCAAATCATTATCACCTGCCTCTCATACCATATACCCATCAACCACCGCCATGTTATTTAATCCACCCCGAAATTCACCTCGTCTCTTCTTCCTGGCTCTACTCTCCACCTTATGCCTTTGTTTTCTATTCCAATGGCGTCGCGAACTCTCCTCTCCCAAAACATCCTGGAAACTTCTCCCTACACCCCTATCTCCCGAAATCTCAGTCAAAGATCCCAAACCCCGCTTTGAATCTTTCCTCTCCAGACTTCTAGAACAAAAACCCTCAAATTCATCTCTAGAACTCCCAGACGGATACGTGCTAGTCCGCATCGAGGAGATCAATGAAGAATCAGAACGAGTAGACAATCTCAAATTAAGCCAAGAAGATCTTGATATCTCCACAAAAGCCCACTCCAATGTCGTAGAACTCCTCCCAGAATACTCCGATCTAATCACCTACGCCCCCAAAACCAACGGACTCATAACCGTCGGCGGCGGTTCCTATACCCCCGCTCTCCTGGTCTCCATCCGCATGCTGCGAAAAACAAACTGTACCCTCCCAATCGAAGTCTTCATCCCTACCCACGAAGACTACGACCCCTATTCCTGCAGCATTCTCGCCTCCTTAAACGCAAAATGTGTTTTCCTCCCCTCTTTCCAAAACGCTACCATCGACCGCTACCAATACAAATCTCTGGCCTTCCTCTTCTCCACCTTCGAATCTGTCCTTTTCCTCGATGCCGATAATTTTCCCCTCGTAGATCCCACTCCTTGGTTTTCTGCACCTGTATTCCAGGAAAAAGGCATGATCACCTGGCCGGATTTCTGGGCTAACACCGCTTCTCCTCTTTTCTATACCCTAGCAAATCAATCTATCCCGGCTATCCAATCCCAACACGCATCTTCCGAAGCGGGCTCAATCCTTATTTCCCGCAATCTTCACAGCCAAACATTACTCCTAGCCTTCTATTACAATCTCTTCGGACCAGGTTTCTACTACGAAATGTTAGCGCAGAAAGGAATCGGCGGAGAAGGAGACAAAGAAACCTGGGTAGCCGCCGCGAACGTACTGAAAAAAGATTACTGGCAAGTTCGAGAAAGGAACCATGCTCTCGTGAGCGTAGAACAGGTCGAAAAAGAAGAGGAAGACGAAGAAGGAAATTGGAGAAAAACAGGAGAATGGGTGCGCGTTGGAGAAGAAGACTTAGATGAGGTGGTTGCAATGGTGCAGTTTGATTTTATCGCAGATTATGAGGCTTCGTTTCCTGCACCTCCAGCTTCTTCTTCGTCTTTAATTACTTGGAAACTCGATTTTAAAACTAAGAAAGATTCAAATGTTCCCGAAATGGAAATAAAGGATGTGGAGATCCCCACGTTGAGAAATAATCCAGATGCAGAAATTGTATTTCTTCATGCAAATCGGATAAAATTGCATCCGGCAGAAGTTCTCGAGCGATTAGATGATTTCCACGGGAGAGGAAGAATGTGGGGGGCGAAAGAAAAAACGATTCAACGATTTGGGAGAGATTTGGAAGCGGAGATTTGGGAAGAGGTGATTGAGGTGGCGTGTGGGTTTGGAGATACTTTGTTGTTGGATGGGGGAGAGGGAGAGGGAGAGGAGGGGAAACAGGTTGGGAAGGAGAAGGTGTGTGAGGATTTGAGACGGTTTTGGTGGGGGGTTTTGGGGAATGAGGAGGTGGAGGAGAGGGTGAGGAGTGCGGGGGAGGAGGATAGGAGGAATATGGTAAGGGAGAAGGGGGGAGAAGGAGAAAGAGAGGGGGAGTGGAAACCGAGGGTGGGTCATGAGGATGGGGTTAAGAGGGCTGGGTAGATTACATACATCATTGAATGGATAAAGGTGTCAATGGGGTTGGGTTTCTTTCAGAGCATTAGGAGTTCAGGAACAAGGCGTCAAGGAAGCACAAAGCACAGCATAGAAACAATGATACTTTTTTTTTACAATGAATTTTTTACTATGAGTGTTGCATCTCTGCATTTTGATAAAGAAAAGACCAAAGAAAAAATGTAACCAGCAACCATCAACTAATCTGCCCATCCAGCTGTACTTATTGTACAAAAGCTGTTATTGTCCTGACATCAACTTAGAGGAATAATGTGCTCTTCGGGGATCCGACCAGACGAGAACCTAAAAACAACTAAAAAAAATTATGTCTTCCCAGATGACAAATCTTGGTGCTTCAGCACAGGTATTATGATTTGTCCCAGGAAGAACGCATGCAATGCAGCATGTAGAATAAAACTCCCCAGAATGAAGAGATGAATGAAATATGATGAAAAAAAGGATTTCCCAGCAGAAGAGAAAGTTCTTGAAAAGGAGAAAAGATTTCCCACCCAAAAAGAGCAACTCCCCCGTAAGAAGTAGAAACGCCTCCCAAAGAAGGTATCTCGAAAGGAAAAAGAAATATTCCCGAACAAACTCGAAGCACCCCCAGGAAGAGAATACCAGTGTACAAAGATCCGTTGTTTGAGAATACAATGAGGAATTGTGGAAGCGTGAAATTGAAGAATAGAAGTATCGTAGAATCATGATACTGTGTTTACACCACCATCGCCTGTATTCGAGATACAATGTCGTGTGCCGTGTGAAAGTACCTTTGCGCCTGGTGTTTGCAAATCGCCCATGATGTACAGATCGTCGAATTCGAGGAGGATTAAGCAAATGCAGAAGAGCTGGAGCCGAGACCCACGCCTAGCTTAGTTCGTTTTGCAGGGGGTTGGTCCTCAATTTCTTCCTCGCCATCATCACCGTCATCTACAGCAACATTGCCACCATCAGCGCCGACAGGGTTGTTACTACCCTATTCAGAAAAGTTAGTCTCAAACACGCTAAATATTGACAAAAATGAATTTGCCGATTTGGAGCAAGGGGAATTGAGAAGGGGAAAAAAATATTGACATACATTCGACAACGACATCAGCATAGTGATGAACTCATCAACATTCATTGCATTAGGACTGAGTTCTTTAAGCTCCTTAACTTGCTTAGCTAGAGGATTCTCGCCCAAAACAACATCTGTGGTCGCCTTGGTAATTGCTCTTGATGTCTTGGCACCATACAATCTTGACAGCTTTTCGATGTTTATGCGGCCGATAGTAGGGAGGGTTCCAGAGACGACAAAAGTTCTGCCCGCCAAAAATGTGCCCGTATCGTTAAGGAGAGTCTTGACATGTCCCGGAACCTCGATTTCGGCTTTCTTCTGACTCTTCGTGGCGACTTGTCTGGCTGCTGGCTTATCCTTGTTGGGGTTTGCTTGGCCCTCCTCATTATCTTCGTCATCACTGTCAAGGACAACGACTGCCTTTGAAGCTGCTCTTGATCTGGCGGGGCGTGACTTTGTCATTGTTGGAACATCATCATCCTCATCCTCGTTATCTTGAGCCTGGGCTTTCTTGACTACCGCTCTCGGCTTTGCAGCTGGCTTCTTGACCGCGGGGACTTGAGACATTCCTTTCTTTGATGGATTCTTAGGAACTTCAAGTTCATTATCATCATCATCATCATCGTTATTGGCTTCAGATTCAATCTCAACAGAACGAACCGCCTTTGTTTTCTTAGATCTGGGTTTTCGCACCTTTCTAGGAGCCTCAACGGACCCCTGGATATCTTCACCATTAGCGACTTCTAGAACAACCTCAATAGTGTCGGCAGCCTTTGGCTTTCTCGCTCTTGGCTTTGCTACCTTAACAGGAGCTTTAGCTGGGGCCTCGACGGTCTCGTCATCACCAATGGCTTCGGAATCAACCTCAACAGCCTTGGCTGCTGCCTTTCCCTTCGCTCTGGGTTTTGCGGCTTTTTTAGGAACCTCAACAGCCCCCGCAACGACAACGGCATCTTCAATGGCTTCAGAATCAACCTCACCAGCCTTGGCCGCGCTTCCATTCTTTGCTCTTGGCTTTACTACCTTGACAGGAGCTTGAGCTGGGGCATCTGCATCTTGAACCTCATCGATTTCTGAGAGATAATCTTCTATTTGTGGAAGAGCCTTCTTTCTTGGCTTCCGCTTCTTCTTGATATGGTTGATATCAAGGAATGTCTCGTCTTCTCTATCAGCCCAATTCACTGGAGCAGCTTCAACATCCTTCGGTTCAGACTCAGGTAAATCATCCAAAGGATTCTTTTCGAGAATTGCACTGGCTTTTTTCATACTCAATTCTTTCATCTCTTTAATGACGGTGATGTTTCCACCGCAGAGGCGGAGGCACATCATTTGGAGATAAGCGGGGCGGCACGACTTAAGTTCATCAAATCGCATCTGTGCTAATTGTAGAGTGGCATGAGCAACTATATCGATACCAACAGGTGAATTATTGAGAATAACCCAAATCTGAGATGTCTCTTCTGCGGACCCAGCCCAAGGTTTACCATAATTCGGCATATCGATCGATGGGTTGATGACATCATCCGTTTGCAATTTCTGATGCTTCATAGATACGTTGGATTGTTGAAACTCATCTTGTAGAGTGGAGGCATCTGTTTTGCTGTTTGGGCTCCGGTGTGTTGGTGCATCGAAAAACTGGTCATCCATCGATTGGTCCGATTCTTGATCTGTGCCTTGCATCAAGTCTTCTTCTTGGGTCGATCTGGAGTGTTGGGTTGGTGGTCTCTCATTTTGTTGCATTGATGACTCGCCGTGTTGATCAACCGGAGTTTCTTTTGCGGATTCATCGGTGTGTTGAGCCATTTGGCCCTGCTTCGACGCCTCGGCAAGAGCTGCTTGTTCCTCAATCGACTGTTCCGAAACTCCAGTTTGAGCATTTTGGTGAGCTGACCAGTAATTATTAAATCCTCTTTCATTTGGGTTATTGAGATTTTGGCCAACGCCACTGCGTTTCTTTTCATCCTCCTTTGCTTTCGCGTCTCGATCAATTTGAATGCTCTCCTGCTCTGCTTTTTTTCGCTCTCTTGCTAGTCTTGATTCTTCCTGCAATAATTCTTCTTTTTCTGCCTTCTTCTTCTGGGCTGCTGTCACCTTTGGCTTTGGTGCTGGCATCCCTACTGGAACTTGTGCTGGCGTCGCCATCTTGTCATGAACGTGATGCGACAATGGTGAGATCTTTGGAATGAATGTGGGAAGCAGTGTGTCAAACGAAAGAAACCAAAATCTGTGATCTCGTAGAAATCAAAGAGAGTATTTGGATATCAAATCAAATGAATGAGCGAGTTTTTGATCTCCTACTTGTCAAGATTGAGAAGCAGATATCAAAAAATGAAGAACTGTGGTTGGATAGGAAGTCAATAGAGAGCGTAAAAAATTACATGGCAAGAAACCAAAAATCTTCGTATCCTTCGTATTCTAGAAGTGTAATACAAAAAAGGATGAAAAAAAGGTCTAGAAACTTTTCGATGACTCGTTGTCTTGAATGTTTGTTGAGGGTGGAGGGTGGAGGGTGGAGGTTGGAGGTTGGAGGTTGAAGGTTGAAGGTTGGGGAGTGGGATGTAGTGCGAATATTTTTGAGGATTGAAATTGCAAGCGGCACAACGTCCAATCTCGGTGGGCGTTTGCCCTAATCGCTCAATTGAGCAATCTAATGGCATTATTAAATTCGGGAGAAAGACGGTCCGACTTCTAATCTCAATTTTCAAATTGTATTCACTGTCGAAGCTTTTTGTGTGAATGGATATTGGAGTCTATGTCGTCTGAAGTGTTGTGATCGGGAATGGGGAGAGGATTTTCCGAGGTTGCCACGCCGAGTCTAAATTGATCTCAGCTCATTGACTGCTCACATTGATTATGGGTACTTCACGTTGTTGTGATCACCTGGGGGCTTCCAGTGGTCTCTTATGATAGTGTCCATTAATCGGAGTTTGCTTCTAACGAACAACTAGTCTACGCGCGATAAACCAGCTGTCAAGCAATCTCAAGCTCGAGATTGGGTGCTACAGATGGATGAGAAATGCGCGATTAGTCGACTACTAGATTGTTCTAACCCAAAGAATCAACGACTCTATGTCTCTTCCACGTCTGAAGCAACACCTGTTTCATCGACCACTAGGATCTAGCATCGACTGAGCCCACCCGCTATACCAGCTTGATTCTCAAATCGCTAGTATGGATTTGAAATATATTCTTGGCATTTTACTCTGCCTCTAAAGGTATTCTTCCAATCCATTCCTCAAACCCATGGTTGAAGCTAGTGTCCTTATATTGACTTTCAATACATTAAAGTTCAATGTGGATAAAAATGGTGAGATTAGAGGGAAGGCAAAAGACACGACAAAGGCGCGGCCAGTAGACTTCGTAGGGCTAGCACAGAGACAGCTATCAGGAAGCAGTAGTATCCTAAGTGTCCCCATTTTACAGCCTCATCTCATACCTCGTCAGCTATGAATTTCCAATAGCCGCTCCTTTGTTTCAGGCTGGAAGTAAAGACACAGAAAGAAATCGAAGAGGGGATTTTAACAACTGAGACAGATAACACATTCGAGAAATCCGCTTGAATATTGGGCGATGTGAAGTTGCTCACATGCGTCATAAACTGCCAATGAGCCTCCTAGACGAGGAAAATATTGTACGAGATAAGATTCAGTTTTCAAGCCTATTTAATATTAGCAGATTTCGCAGTAGGAAGATGAATTTCGTGATGGAGAACGAAAGCTCGAAAGAGGACTTCTAGTGAAGCAAAAACGGAAAAAGAAGAAATTCGAGGATGCGAATTTTTTTGTACAGGCAGAACCCAAATATAAGCTTCCTCTTCAGCTCTGGGTAGGTAGTCTTGAACCCTTTACTGATTCATGACAATGATTGAAGTCAGAAAAGAGATGATGTGTCGTCAAGCGAAGGATCTCACGATCTACATATACCTTTGCAAGATTCTTCGACATTTAAATGAACTTGGATAGTTACTATGGCACTTGGTAACGTACGACATGAATACCATCACTTATTCATTCAAAAAGTATGTGCCAGGCAGTACTGTCAATTGCTAAGACAGCAAGAGCAAGAACCAGATAACGATGACTATCTGAATTGGTATTCAGAGGCCGACCTTCCAACTTTTGTACGGAGTGTCATAAAAAGGAGACTAGCGTACCAAACATTGGTCATTTACCAAAGGCAGTAGATCGCACGGCAATGAGTGGTTGCGTCAACGCAAGATTACGATTGGCATTTCAGATAGATGCAGACATCTAAACGGTTCTCAGAGTCGGCTTGAGTAACCACGGGAGATGTACGATGTGCTAATAAGGGAATCTATCTAAGATCTTTCAATCTTCATATTGCGGTTTGGCGTTGAACTGTATTTTTGACGCACGAGACTTGCATGGGAGTTAGCCAGACATGTCCTTTAGGGATGCCATGTAACATTGGTTTTTGCAAAGCCTAAGAAACAACACTTTCACCATATTTCATCCAATATGCAATCTGATATTCATCCATTCTCGTAAAGGCGAAGACCGAGCAGCAATCTCCGAATCTCCATCGTTGAACCAATGGAAAACTCGAAAAGATTTATTAATTTTATTGGTGATTTTTATTTGGATCTAGAAAAGTGAATTTATGTTTTATTTGTGCGAATTTGAGATTGCTTATCGAGCTTGTTGCTTTAACCTATCGCTTTTTTATTCACTGACCACCTAATAATTCGATACAGTGACATCTAGAACTCCCTACATTGGGGAATATTTACAACCACAGCCATGTATAACTCAACACGAGAGGTGTTGATGTAAATTATCCATTTATGATATGTTTTGGTGTTACCAGTGTGAATTTGTGAGAAAAGGAGCAAGGAGAGAAAGGGGAATGGCTGAATTGGAGGGGACTGAGGGAAATAGAGACTTTCGAAAGGATGAATTGGTTCGAGGTGATCTCGCTGCATTAGTAGGAGTAGATAATGCCAAATGATGTCCAACTACTTCATGATGAACATGAATTGATAATTGAGAGGTAAGAAAACATTACCCATTCCGCCGTGCATAGACCAATGCACAAAAATAGGCAAATTTCCTCTCAGCGTTAAAGCACGGTAAGTCTACAATGAAAATTATTTGGGGCTTATTCGGCCGTGACTGACTCTTGGGAATACTTTTCTCCAATTAGATGCTCAAGTACCCACTCAATATCTCGCGGGAGATAAAACAAGATGGTCCTGCAATCGCGTCAACCACTCTTTCAGCCTCAATCTTTGGCCGTGAAACTTCCACACATAAGATCAGAGATTTTCTTCGCTATTCACAATAAACTCGTACATTGGAAGGTCCCGAGAGACATTCGATGGTTTTTATTCTAGCGGACAGTGTTGATTATATGATAATGTACATGGCAGCCAATTTAGATATACTCCACACCTCTATTCTATACCTGAAGTCCAAGTCTTCAAATCGCTACGCACCCGAGAAGTAGTACGCTGCATCTCCCAATGCCAGAAACCCCCCCTTTTTCCCTTACACATCTCTAGTGTTAGCATTACTTGTACCCTTCAATTCCACCTCCTCAGTCTTAGCATCCAAACTATTAAGCTCATCCTCCTGGTCGTCAAGTTTATGATAACAAATCCAAAATACAACACCCGCTACAAAACTTCCACAAGCCAATCCCACAAACATCCACAAAATCGTGGGATTACCCACCAACGGAATGAACGCCTGACAGATCGCAAATCCAAAAGCATTGGTCAATAAGAACATAGCTTGAACAAAGGACTTCATGGAAGCAGGTGCTTTAGTATATGCATATTCGAGACCGGTAACCGAGGCAAAGATCTCAGATATACCAATCAATACGTAAGCCGGGATTTGAATTGCGAAATGCACTTCGTTAGGTTGGATTGTTCCGTCTGGGAGGACAGCGGCAGGACAATCGAGTGGTTTGCCGTAACATGGACCAGCTTTGTAGATGAGGTGCTGTACGATGGCTGCATACATCATACTGAAACTAGCGACGATAAAACCGAATGTGATACGGGACATAGGTCTGAATTTGATGTGCCACTTGCGCAAAAGTGGGTATACTAGACGATCCATTACTGGTACGAGGAGAATGATAGCAATGGGATCGAAGTTCTGGGAAAGATCGTTGGGGACACCGTGAGTATTCATTTCTCCAGCTTGAGAAACGAAGTTACTGGAGAATTGAGCGTAAACAACCCAGTAAATAGGGTAGAAGACGAAGACGCGGCAAGCTATTAATGCACGCTTGACTTCATCGACGAACTGTTCATCCCATGGAGTAGTCTGTGGGAGATTGTTTGCTGCTCGGTAAGAAGGTTTTGCAGCGTTTAGATTTCGGTGTTTGATCATTTGCCCAATGATCTTGAATGCGTCGGTGATGACTGTTCCCTTAGGTGGGCGTACAATATATCGCTTCCTTCCGAAAAGCAATGTGGCGAAACCAACCATGAATACACACAAACACATAAGGTACGCGGACCAAAATCCAACATCTCGTTCCATGTAAGGTGTTGCGAGAAGGGACAGAGCTCCAATATTGATGCACCAGTAAAAGATCAGATAAATTCGTTGAATGGTAACGGCAGGATCAATAATGACACGTTCACCAGTTTCAAGAACTTTTATTGCCATGCGTTTTCGGGTGTATTGATCGGCAATCAGAGGACTGACGTTGGATTTGATACCTCCGGTTCCAACACCAATGATAAGAATGGCTGCGATATAACCTCCCAGTCCAGCTCCGTTATGAAGAGAAACTGGCAGAGACGTCACGACAAGAACTAGTAGACCAACCATATACACGACTGCAAAATAGCAAATGGCTTTGAATCGACCAAGATACTGATCGGCAACGATGGCACCAAAGATTGGGGTGACTGGTAAGAATATGAGCAATCATACAGCAACAGCTAAGATGAGCAAGACTTACAGTAACACCACATGGAGAAGAAGACAGTAAGAGCTGTCGCAGTTTGATGCCCGAGACCTATAAAGTTAATGAATGGCCACAGATCTAAGAGATTGAATTCCTACCGAGAGCACCACGACCCAAAGAACCATCCAGAGGACGTTGAACATAATTTTGGAATAATCCCACACAACCATAGTATGAGAATCTCTCACAAAGTTCTACGATGGCGACAAGCCAAGCGGACATGGGCAAACTATCACCAACTAGATTATTGTCAGCTTTTCAGTGACCTATGATGTGATGCGGTTGTTATCCTACTTCGTCTCAGTGTCTGTTTCTCCTCATCAGTAGGCTCTTCTTCATCGGCATCGGTCCCTTTTTCGAAACTATTTACTCTCGAATCTGCAGTTGGAGATATTCTCTCTTTGGCACTCTCCGGACGGGCTGGATTCGCAGCTATGGTATCGTTGCTCATTTTTGAACTAGTCGCACTCTGACTCTGCTTCTCCATTCTGGGAGGCTTGTTAGCATTCAATCGCTCACAACTCGGTAAATATGTTCTCACTGATTGCCCGACATTGAGGATTGATTTTCGTGGATAGAGATTAAAGCATGAGTGCGGGGACCAGCAAGTTAAGTAGATTGCCGAATGATTTGCTGTTGATGTCATTGAGTAAGAACGAATGCATCAACCATGAAAGTTGGAGAGAAAAATAACCTTATAATTAGCATGCACGTTAGAGCTAAGCTTATGACATATGCAATCAATGCAAAAGCGAGACCCGAAAGCTAGGACCGCTGTCAACGCTCGTTTGGATATAATATACGAAGCCATCAATTGAGCTACCGGAAATGGTAACATACCAAGGTTAATGAGAATACACCTATGCAGGAACAGCTCAGTCCAAATTGACTCCCAGTTTATGGGTAGCTCCAAAGATGGGAAACCCCAATGGGACGATTTTCAGTTTATTCATCAAGAACGAGAAATCAACTTTGACTGAGTATACCAAATAGCGAAGCAAAGCTCCTGTAGAAAGAATTTGCTGTGGGTATAACTAAACGTCGGACCGTAATATAAAACGCAGAAAGAGAGAGTGAAAGCAATAGGACTAGCTTCGCTTCACTGAAACTCAACTGCGCTCTACCAGATACGAAATTTATACCGACACGTCTGCCCTTGTCTTCTATCGCTCCATCCCGGGAGATCCTAAGCATATCATCGTGTAAATTCTAATCACACGTTGCTTCCACCCTAGCCTACTTAACATGAACACTGGTCTGCACCCCGCCAGCACTAGCTATATCTGAACCATTCTGTTCGCCGAGTGACTTTACCAAGGCAATAGTGATAATTGATTGAAGGATGCGGGCCATTGAAAGGTATGATCTTTATCTACACACTGTAGATCGAGTGGGGTAACTGGCTCGACGGGTTGTAAAGGATATACGCCATGATGAACACCGTTGTTTAGCTTTCGGGCTAGTTCGGAGATATGGTTGATACGAAAAGTGCAAACAATGAATGGGATATGCGATCTGCAATTCCAAGCCCAAGAACTTCACAAGTGAGGGACTGAGTGTTGAGTAGTGCAGATAAGGTTTTGATGCCAAGAACGACGATCACGGCAGAATCTGTTTTAGGCAGCGGTGTGATTTTAGGAAACTTCTCATCATAACCAATAATAATTCCAGGAGATCCTCATAGAAGTAAAACATCATTCATAATTTGATGAACCACAGAATGAAAGAGACGAACCATCTCATCGATGAGCATGAATAACACATAACTCAGCGTGCTTTGGGATGCTCCGACTCCCTTCTCGAATGATTTCAAAAAGAGAAATAATTGCGAAACCCAATTCAAGACTAATCTGAACCTTTTGACAGATTGTACAGATAAAAGAAATGAAGGAACCGGCGAAGCTATAGCTGCCCTTTCGGAACGCCAAAAATAGAGCACTATAGCTGTTCTGGAGTAACATCGATGCTATTATCATGGTGATTTAGGCGTATATGTTGCTGATATCTAATGTTAAAAACTTGGGTCACCGAGGGAGGAGATATAGGTGCTGAGTGCTTTTATTGATGTGTCTTTATGAGTCTGTGTACAAGCGTACGCAGCGGCATAAACTCAACGATGCCTCACAGCCAGTTTGGCACTGACAGCCAGAGTGTTTACACTCGGACATGAAAACTAGTGCAGGCAAATTTCCTCCCCGCATCAAACCAAACAAATGCTCCAACGACCTGGAGTCAACAAAATGAACTTGAGATATTAGTTGTTTGGTTAGGATCATCTAACAGTCGTAGGCCTCTTGCCAACATAAACCAAGTCTTTGTATGTATGATAGTTGACGAAGACCATCAGAAGAGATGATTTTCTGCAGGGGGTGTGATGGGACCAATGTCCTCGCGTCTTTTGTTCACAGGAAGGTGTATAACGACCTCTTGTAGTTACGAAAGGGAACTAAGATCCAGTCGAGATGCTCATTTTGCTTCTTCCGGTTCTTCGTCCTCTTGGAGATCGTTTGAGATCGAATGCTCAGTCACTGATTGAATATATAAAGAAACAAGAAGAGGCTAAGATCGATTCAAAGTCGTATCTGAATAATGAAAGTGGGTGCTAGAAACGGAAGAAAATTTGAAGACGAGACTGACCGATCGTACCTACCACATTGAGTGAACAAAATCAACAATGTTGCAACAAAAAAAAACGTTTTGCAACAGAATAACTTACAAGATACAATCCCAATTCAGCAAACTTCAATCTTAGGATCATATCCCCTCCATAAATGGTATACCGTTCACGACTTCCCGAGATCGTTGATCTCCTGCGTAAGGATGGCCGATGTGATGAGCTAAGGTTTCGAAGAGATCTCCAAACATACTGGCCAGAAGTACGTGCCGAATTTCATGATTTATTGACTCCTGGTCAGCAAAACGAATTGTTAGAGCGCTTTGTTTTCTCCCTAACCTGTAAGCTAATCATCTTTTCTTGCGATAACTACATGATTTGGTCTAACTTTTCCCTTAGTTGGCCATGGTTCCCGTTCCCCTGGGGACATATAATTAGAGCACTTGCATATGCTTCCAGACCCTGCCGATGGGGGTTGTCCACCGCACTCACTCAATGTCGACTTTATGTTATTTGGGATCCCTCCTTGTTCACTATTTGCGACCGTTTTGGCGAGATGCAAGCCAGAGAAAGGTGATTACATCATAGTGCCATGCAAGTTGTACCAACAACTTCTCAGTCACATAATTACGACAATCGTCGTAGAGCAGATGGTCGGAGTCTTCAAGCTGCTACTTTGAGATCTGCGATCTCACTTCCACAAACCGATGATAGTCAAGATCATGATTGTGAAGATACTCGTGACCAATATCATGATAGTCAACACAATGATGGCCAACACGATGATGGTCAAGATAATGATGGTCCCAGCGCCGAAATACTGGCAGCAAATTCTGCACCGGAAGATGATGACATTTGTCCCATTTGTCGCGAAGGATATTCTGATGCCCAGCCTTCAGCCTCACTCATTCCGAATTGTGGACATTTCTTCCATCTGGATTGTATGGTGCAGTGGATTAACTCTAATTCTATTGATGGTCAGCCGAGAGATAGGTGCATCTGCGGTCGTAGAAAATTCACTGGAATTCTTTCTCAATTTTATGGCGAGGTAATTCCACCTCAAAATAGTGAAAATTTCTAGCGCAACGACAATGGGCCGTTGATTAGTGAAGTCTTTCCGAGACGAGCAATTGTGTCGTCTTATGACTCATCTAACGAAACTCAATAATCGGAATCAACAGTGGACGAGAATATTTTATATAGCATGACAGATGATGAACTAGCTAGACTAGCTGGGGCATCCCACGTAGGCGAATACACACCCATTGAGACTAATGATGGGACGGCTAGCTATTTGGAGGTTCCTCCTCCCGGACAAGGGGCTCGTAACAACCAGGATGAGTCGCAGGACTAAGAGGAGAAGAGGTGAACTTTCAACTATCTACATCTGCATCTATTGGTGCCTATAAAGTTGTTACGAGAGAGTGTTGATGTTCAAATTGGGTGTGCATGATACCAAACAGAAGAGGGAGAATCGGCACCAGATTAGCAACCATCAAACATTATTTCTAGACATCGTTCGATAGCGAAGCCAAATTATCTCCCCCGAACTTCAAGTCTTTCGCTCCATGATATCATCTCAAAAGTTTTCCAATATTTGCCACTTATCGAATGTCGAAGTTACGTACAGAGAAGTGTTCTTACACCCAAGCCTTTGCACTGCAATTGAGAATTTGCCACCAGTATACAATCTCCGTGTACAGCCGGTGTTAGATACGAGCGAAACCAGCCAGTTTGCCTAATAGAAGATCAGAAACTCCACTATTAAAGCAAGCAATTTTGCCGTGTTACTCTCAACAGTGGTTTTCAAAATCGAGCTACCACCACTTGATCAGGATGGGCATATTTGTCAGGTATATTTGTTATACTGTCACCTTCAATGGTGCCATCACTGTCTTGGTAGCTATAGATTTTCTTCCAGTTTGAGCATTTACAGATCGATATATTGGGGCTTGTTTCGGCAATCATAGCACTCGTGTATGTTTGCCGGGTTTAATTCATCCAAAAATCGCCAAAAGTCGCCAGATGGTTGTGATTTTTGCTATCGCATGACGGAAAGTCATTGAGTGCCACTCGTTATTTGTCTCATGTCTGTCATGTTTGTGGCTTTCGCGATTCATCACACAGCGGTGCCTGATTTCTCTCAGAAGCATATATCAACAGCTTCTCATCGCAAATGGCCTGGCAATTATACAGGTTTCAAGTACGGTGCTTGGTTTCCCCATAAGAATCTAACTTGAATGATTCTGGTTCTAGACTTTGACTGGAATGCCCTCATCAAAGGGTGCTAGTCAAAATTTTACTCTCGTGCTTATTGTTTTGCTTTACATTTCGAAGTTGGTGCCGGAATCATTTTCCTAGCTTGCAATTAGTGAGTCCATTTCATGAATTTTATCAGCTTTATTTTGGTGGGATTGATCGGTTTTCTGTGAAGTTCTCTGCATTATTTTTGAAACCGATTCTATATTCATACAAAAGTTAAAGATGTGCTAAGTTATTGACCAATCCATTTCCGATTATCTAGCACTGTATTTTCGTTCAGGAAATTGCAATATTACTGCTAATGCTCTTACTTACCATTTTCAGAGTTTTTCAGGCGCAGTTTTTCAACGTTTTCTATGACCTAGTGGTTTGCCGAATGTCTGTCTAGATATAAGGATGATCTTTTCTATCTGAACTTGGAGATTGTATGTATCTGTTCATGCGACGAACCAGCTTACCTCACTGTCAAAGTCACCTGAAACGGAAAAAAAAATTCTTTGTCGATGACTGACTTCAATATACAAGTCTATTTCATGAATCTCATATACTAAAGTTCGAATATTACTGGTGGTTGAACTACGCTGCAATGCATCTTGGAATCAATGGACCTTTAATTCACAAAAATTCACCAATGACTTCGTGTCCGAGGCTCATTCTTTGTCAATTGGATAGAAATTAGTATAGGAGCCGAAAATTGATTGCGATTCTCTCACCTTTAACTGGACAAAAGAAATTTAACGGAGGATATTTCATCAGAATGGATCGGAGTATGTTCGGCCCACAGCTGCTGTAGTTGAATTTGAATTGTTTTCAACAACCTTGTTTCTTGCTGCAACGAACACAACTTTCTATCAGTTTTCTTTAAATCTCTTTTGTTTTGTTTTATTTTACATCGAACTCAAACAATCTCTCAAACAATCTAGTCTAGCCCAGAATTAGCCATGAATAATCAAATTCAGCTTCGACAAGATATCTACAACAGAAGATACGAGAACGGCACGTGGATTTACAGCCTGGTCGACTACCCAAGAAAGCTTACAGTCAACGAACGGTTAAGAATTACCCATACCATTCCTGCTATTCTTTCAGAGTCTAGATACCACACGGCGGAAGAGCTAGAGAAAGCTGGCTACCACTTCATGAAAGGTGGCGAGAAGCACCAATTCGAAGCACACCATACAGATAAACCTCCCACCCACTTTACAAGCCATCTCAGACTTAGCGAGAGAGAGCTAGCGCAATGTGGTCTTCTGGAGGAGCTTGGTAAGCTGCGCGAGATTGCTCTTCATCCAGACTTTCAGACTGGCTTGGCAGACACGATGAAACGCAAATATAGCTACTATCCAAAGAAGAAGGGTATGCAATACGAAATTGGGGTCACTAAGCAACCTGGACACGGAGCTAAGAGACTTCAGCTGGCAGAGATTCTGCGTCGAGATACAGACGATTCGAAGAAGGATTTCTTCCATAAAGCTCGTAATCTAGGCCAGAAGTTGCTTGATATATGGACTCCTGGGTACGAGAATACCCACTCTTTTCAGGATATTGAATGGCATCGAAATGCTGCGATGACCTTCAGCGAGGATTCGAATACAACGCTCAACTCTATCCAACTGAATTACACCAAGCAAGGAACGGCCATCACGGACGCTCTGAAAGGGAAGGCACATCTACATTGCGATAAATACGATCAACCAACTTCCTATTCCGTCGTGTTCTTCATGTCAAATTTTGACGATTGGTATTGTCCCGGCCATTTCATCAACACTACCTGGAGAACCATATTCCCTGCATCCCCTTTCCAAGTCTACATCTTTTCCGGAAGAACATGGCACTGTGGTGCTGGCGCAGGATTCTATCCAGAATGGGTAGGCCCAGGTCATCCCCTACGATTATCAGCTCCATCGGTTCCACTTCCTGCCTTAAGTCCCCTTGCAGCCGAAAATAAGATGAGATGCAACATGGTAATATATCCGACTCGTAGACTTCTAGTTCCCAAGTTCAAGGAATTGAACATTGAGATATGGCAAGCACAGGGCCTTCACGTCTTCACGAATATTCGAACACACCAGGAATGGAAGTTAAGGCTGTTCATTAAGCAAGAAGTATTGTTTAAGCTGATCGCATCGCTTGAAACTAAAGTGCTTTTACAGAAGCACTTCCCTGAGTGGATTCGAAACTGGTGGTGGATGATGACTTTTACTCCAGACATGTTCTGGCATGGTGTCGACGATCTATCTCACGACGCAGAGGAGAGATCCTTGGCATACTTCAAGCAGTTGGAAGATGAAATCGACAAGAACGATACTCAAGAACCCCTTCTAACCAAAACCGGCAAGAACAAGAGAGTCTTGCTCACCGAAGAAGAGAGGGCTATCACCAAAAAGTTCACCGCACACTACGAAGATCTTGGGGATTGGGAAGATTTGGGAACCACTAATCCCGATTGGTTTATTGGGTTATTCTGGTGGATCGACCCTGTTACTGGAGCTAAGACATATCCTTCTCGCGACATGGCCATCAAGACAATCGCGTTGGTTGCTACCGGGCCTTGCAAAGAGCTGGCTAACTCGGAGGAAGATATAGCACAGGCATATGATGGATTTGGTGAGTACAAAGGAGGCACGGTTTTCACGGAACTAGATTCTCCTCGTGCGTTTGATCCAGGTGTGGATACTGTTCCTGCAAATCCCGGCTGGGTCCCCAACTCTGATTGGTAATCTACTCCTCTTGCAGAGAAGACTGAAGAATCGGTTATTGGAGGGTAGACGTTCCGTGTAATGATATGGAGGGGGAAATGCCAACAGATGGAACTGGTTTTGTGCTCTGGGTTACTGTCGAAATATCTATCGTGTGATCATGAATAGGCTGTACTGGCTAGCGAGGCGCTAGTTCTTCCCAAGGATATGATTAAGAACGATTACAACCATAATATACTAAAGTAATTTACACTTATCAATCAAGTTGATGCTATTAGTTATGATTCTACAGATTATTCTGAGTTCTCCTCGAGAGATTGCACGTAGAATACCCACTATTAATGAATAAGGATTCTTGGACCTTCGTTTGGTTGATTTAATGTTTCAGCGCTATGGTAGAGAAATTCATATATAGACAGACGTTAGAAATTTCCTCAAACAAGCATCCCAATTCCAGAAAAGCTCTTCGGTCAACCAACGCAGTCATGAATAGTTCCTTACCTAAGTAGATAACTCATATTTAGTTTCAACTGTGCCTAAGTTTGTGGAACCATCACCAATTACCGGCTTAGCACCAGATGGAAAGAAGGGGTAATGAAAGTGAAGTCCAATAGGATGAATCTATGGAATTTGGATGTACAAGGTTTGAACATCTTTCTTGCATGCTAATTTGTGAGAAGACCGGAGCAAGCTATTCCCGTTTGTGATTCAATTGCCACATATGACAAGGAGGCTGCTGTATCGATATCATGCAAGCCACAATATTCACTTTTCATTTTCGTTCGCCAGAGGTTCCTCGGCACACAGATGATCAATATTAAGAACTTCGATCGCTCTCGAACAACCTCGAGATTTTAAATACAGAACACAGCACTATGGACCAATTACGCCCCTTCACTACTAGTTTCCACGAAGACGTCAAATACAATGGTTCTGGATACTGGCTACACACAATTGACGCGAAGATGCGAGGCCCTAAACTAGCAAAATTGTCTTGCACAATCCCTCCTGAATTGGACGTAGGTAGACAACATACCGACGAGGAACTTAACGAAATTGGCTACATTCGACTAGAGCCAGGTGTTTGTCATTTTGTAGCAGCTCCTAATGCACCTGATGGCAAGCGATTTGACCACGCATACCTTTCTGCAACCGAGATTGAGAAGGTTGGTCTTCTCAACCGCCTGGTTCAAGTTCGAGAAAAGATGCTGCATCCCGACTTGCAGCCGAAGCTACATACCACGATGGCGAAGGTACGAAGCCGTAAAGTTATGGAAGGCCATGCAAAGATCTACGAGCTCGGAATCACGGTGCAAAAACGTACAGGCCGGCACAGTATTCAAAACGGAGTCATACTTCGAAGCGACGTTGACAGAGACAATCGAGATTTGGTAGTAGAACTCACAAGCATTGCGAATGCAATACTCGAGACCTATGCGCCTGGAATGAGAGATGAATTTCGAGCGAAGCGTCGACTACAACGTCCTCCCCTCACGATTGGTGCTGACGAAAACAACACCATCACTAGTATACAGGTAAATTATCTCGAGATAGATGAAGGTATGGATGGACTTCGAAAGTTTGGACACGGACACATCGACGAGCGGGATCATGCCAATATGTTTACAGTGCTATTCTTCCTCGGAAACCCGCCTCCTGATTATCACGTAGGAAGTTTTGTGTTGCTAGGCGAGAGAACTGTATGTCCAACTGCACCCTTGTCAGCTCTCGTGTTCTCTGGGAAAAGTTGGCATGCTGGTATTGCTCCTAGACGATACGATGCCGATACACCAGCATCACTACGCTACGTATCGCCAGTACTAATTCCAGAATTGCCCGCAGGGACTCCTCTCATGCGCTTGTCTGTTGTTGCTTATCCTAATAGGAGAATGATGGATTTACACCCACAAGAACTCGGGTACGAACTCTTCACGTCTGCTGGCAGCGCCTGTTTCCAAAGCCAGAAGAAGTATCAAGAGTGGAGGATGTCCTATTACATTGCGCATGAGCGAGCCATGGTAGCACTAGAGGCATTGGAGAATCGGGAAAGACTGGGCGAGAAACGACCGAAGAGGAAGGGCGATGGAAGGGATCGGTATGTTCAGCTAGATACTACCGGTATCGTACGACATACACTACCATCGTACTTTGTCGACAAATTCCAATGGCGCGATGAACTAACCGGCCAAGTGATGTTCCCATCCACACAATTGGCAATCGACACAATTGCACAAATGGGACAGCCTAATCAAGAATGGGACAATCTTTCTAAGGATATGGCACTCGTTAGCCTTGGTGGAAAGGCACTTGGGAAGAGGAAGCTTTCAGAAATGAAGATGCTGGAGGCTGAAACTCCTGAAAGATCCAAGAGACTGAAGTCAAACGAAAGCGCAAATGAAATGAAGAGTGCTGAGTCCCAGCTGGAAGAAAGAGTTGGTATGGTCGAGGGGGAATTCTATCGATGGGAAGAATTCTTGATTGGACAGGACAATGGTGATGATATAGACCACCAAGAGCGAGCTCGGGAGAGACTTGAAGACCGGGAATCATTTGGGGCTCCGTGATTGATGGTATTGAATCTTCTGGGAAAAACTGCTTCACTAACAATTATTTGAATAGAGAGTAAAATGTAACGATTATGTTCAACAGAAGCACGCAGACAGCACAATTTGCGATAATGAAGATTCATGATACCTAGTGATAGTGACAACGCGAGCTGCAGTAGTTGTAAAAGGGCGCTCCACAAATTTCTTGGAATAACTATTCCTCAACAAAAGCACTCAACTTCGTTTCATTGTAACAATCTTCCTCGATCAATTTCTCCCATTTCTAAATCACATGAGCTAAGAAACAGCAAGCAAGGATTAAAGTAACTCACCTCCCCAGTAATCTTCACCACGGTAGGCAATCTATCAATACCCCATGGCTCATCTCTCCAGAGACTTTTCTTTCCAGGTGATAAATCTCTCCATCTGACAAGATATTTCCATTAGCTTCCCATTCTCACCGATTCACATACACCAGTGACCCTAGACTCTCCTCTGACCAAGCTTCCGGGTAAAGATGACATACTCAGCCTGAGATCCCCCATAGATAAGCTTAACCCTATCCTCCTTTGCAGCTATCTGAAGCTTCTCAGTCAAGGGACCTTCCGCGCTCCGGCAATCTCCACACCAAGATTCGTTTGTCTCGGGCTTGAGGGAGGCGAAAAAGATCACGTATTGTGGTTTAGTTGATCCACTGAGACTCTTTTGAAGGACTTCAGAAGAGTCATTGAAAATGGGGAATGAAAGAGGCATTGTGGTGAAGGTGGGTTGAGTTCTGTAGATTGATGGTATCGTTGGAGATGTGACGGAAAAACAAAAAAACAGATGTGGAGGAAGGTGGGGTATACTGTATATCAACCGAGGTAGAGCCGATGTGTCGCGGAGGGAGGGGGACTACCATCCATGCAAATGCGGCTGTTTACAGAGTATAAATTGCAGAGCAACTGGAGCTTTTCCAGCTGAAACGTGACAAAGCTGGACATTTGGACTCTGTTTTGAGAGGATCCTTAGAAAACAAATGTCTTTTGTCTGCCGTCCTTCTCCTCTCCATCGACCACAATCGATTTCCCTATTAGTCGGCGGTCACGTCCAGGGCTTGACTTCTCTTGCGCTTGGCCTCCCACCTCATTCCGGTAGCCTGTTTTTGAAAGACAACTAAAAATGTGGGTGAACTTGGAAGAAACGCAGATGTATCTTCTTGGCTAGAGAAAGGGTATCGAGGTCTGGTTCTTGGTGGGAGAAATGAGGTGGAGTGTTGGGTACATGAAGACCCGGAGAAGATGATCATCATTTGCCTTGGATTATTCAATCCGGAGCTGGAGCATCAGTTAAAAGATGGCATTCTTTCCTAAGTTCGTAATTTTACACTTCCCGTTCTACTTTCCGTAATGTATAACAAAGCTCTTTGCCAATACGGGTTTCGAGCAAATACTCGCCCCCAAAATACTGTTCGGTTTGACGGAGAAGTTCTCGTTGCGAATCCAAAGCATATCGATGGCGTCCGTGAAACTTCCAAATTACCAATAACTTTGGTTTTGCAAGCCTTGTTTTGAACTAATTTTCACCCAATTCCGTAATACATCGCGAAAAGAGATCTGTCTGGATGACTTCGGCATTATCGTAGCTTTTCTTCTTGCAAGGAATTGACACTCAAACCTTGTTGACATAATTTGATAATTCCAGTTTCTATGACTCGCTTCCCACCATCATTTTCGGTTTGTTCAAAAGGTCCAGAGTCTCGACCACTAAATTTTGAGCTCTCTTCTTCGTCCATAAGCATCCTGTCGTTGCCATGACCATTCCCATATTTAAGCCTAGCACATTTTTCCATTGCTCTCTATATATTAGATTACTCAAATGCATAAGCGTGCAAACTTTTCAATCTTTGGTTCTTGAAATTTTCTTTCCCCATTGAAACATACCATCTGATTGCTTCTGCTGTTGAAAATCAAAATCGACCAAGTAGCAATGCGATCAAACTAGAGTTGGTAAGAATCTATCACAAGCTAGAAAATCACGAAGAGTGAGACTTACCCTCCAGTACTTGTTCCCCATATCATATCAAAATCATCCGCTGGTAGTAAATCAACCGAAGGTTTGAGAGCGTTTTTGAGACGATTGATAATCTCGTCAAGAACGATCAGCTCAGATAGTCCTTGAATACCCCGCCATCTGTAATCATTCATTAGTGAAGGCAGGACTCTAACTAAGTGATTTAATTCTTACCAAGCGATTAAATTCTCGAACACGATGCAGCCATTGCACCCTGTCCCGAAATGTGAGTCGATAACTCAAAGGAAGACATAGTGAATGATGTATAAGTCGTTATCCAAGATGAAGGCAAAGAGTGAAAGAAGATTCTGAAATATAATGAACATAGAAAGCATAGCCAAGATAGAAAAGAGAAGGGCAAAACTTTCTATTGCAACCTCAGGTTAAGAGTGTTTGTTTGTATCCTATGCACCAGCTTACTCAAAAAAGGAAAAGAAAGAAGAAAAGACTTCAGACGCGTTTGCCATTATCCCGACGGTGGATTGATGGTATCAATTCAAACTTCTCGGGAAAGACACTGCTTCCCAGAAATTCTGATATTATCACGGGTAGCTTCATCTCATCAAAATAAAGGGGGTACGCCATACTCAACCGCTACGGTTTCAGTAAACGAGGAAATTCAACCGAAAAAATTATATTCAATGTCGGGAGCTTCCCGTCGATGTGAAATTCGCACCGCTTGTTAAACAATTCTCAGGGAAGAAAAAAGCATCTGCGGGCGCAACTAACCATACACAATTTCAGAGTTCACTGCAACATCGGAAGACTCCTTATCTCTTCTTTTCCCAAAAGAACAAATGAGAATGAATCTGAATCTTCACCTACTCTCCTCTGCCCTCTACTCCGAGATTTTCCCTACTCCTTTTTCTCTCTTTTGCGCATAACCGTGGCCATCTAGAACCGCCACTAAGCCCATCCTTATCACCAACCCGTAAGATCTGTCTGAAGCCAAGTAAAAAAATAGCCTTTCATGTTCTCAGATGCTTATCATCACCAACCCCTCTTCCCATTCATCCTCCATCCTTTCCTCACGACCGCACTGGTATACTGCTCCTCCTCTTTCATTACCTTCATTACCTTCATTACCTTCACTATCTACTCTACACTCCCTCTCCGTTCCGAAATTCTATCCCCAGCCTACGGTCATCCAGATTATCACCATCATCAATGGCACAATCGCTACCATCAAATCTATCCCCATCACTCATTACAACCCCACAATTTCATCCAACACAGAGTAAAACACAAACTTCCGCATTTACGAACCTCTACTACCACTTAACTCTCATCTCTATCTCGCCAATTCCCTCCTAGTACAATGGTACTACTACTATTGCTATCACCACCAAACTCATCAAAACCATTAACACCATCACACACCCACTACACAGAAACGGCATCATCACCATCTCCTTCCTACCCTCCCTTCCCCTCGCTATCCCCCCGCCATCTCCTCGCCAACATCAAATTTTGCAAAACCATCGCAACTATTGCACAAGAACCGCACGAAAACACCACCACGATCCCGTATCATCATTCCCCCAGGAATCCTCATAACCACCACCATACTCAACTTCCTTGAAACCATCACGCAAAACCATACAACATCCCTCCACTCCACTCCACTCAACCACTCCATCCCATCCCACTCCCTACAAACCATACGATACCACCCTATCCACTTATCCACTCCATTCTATACCATCACCACCACCACCACCACCACCATCTCCAAACTCCCATTCCATTCAACCCACCTCCTCAAAAGCCATCCAACACCACCCTATCTCATCCCATCCCCTTTCACTTCTTTCCACTCCCCCCATCTCACTCACACACCCTACAAACCATCGCAACCCATCTCCCTACATCTCACATCACTATCATCTCCAAACTCCATTTCCTCCAACCGAACTATCCCAGGCCATCTCACTCCACTTATACAACACCTCGCATTCACCAATACCACTCTACCTAATGATCTCATCTCATCCCATCCCATCCAACCCCGCGCACCAGACAATAGCGAGAACAGAAACGAGGACTCAACAAGTACTCCACTCCAATATTTCCCTATTCGAATTCTGAACTACACTTGAATGTTATTTTTTCAACCCCACGACCATAAAACCCTCTCTATACTCTATAATCCCCCACGCAATAACAAATCAAGCAGAGTATCCGTTCACTGAGAGGTCCCCAAAATCAAGAAGATATCAAAATATACTTGATTCATACTCAATCACCGAGGAATCAACACGTATCACTCAACTCAGCACATGCAAATTTCCCAAGACAAGTCCAAAAAATACGCAACAGAGAAGAAAGTATTCCTAACCCTAACCCTAAACCTGATTGATATCATAAATCGACCTAATTAAGTAATAGGCAAGCTAAAAACCGTGCTCAAAAATGATATTTGTAATAGATGCCCAAATACGCCAGCCAGCATATTGCCAAACCAAAGTGTTCATATCACAAAATACCCCGCTCAAATGATTCGATTTTCTTCAATCTTCGACGTCTCTTTCCCCTTCCACTCCCCAAAAATTAGATTGCCATTTTATCCAAAATTGCCATGACCCCCTTCCCCTTATTTCCCCCATCATCCAGCTCCTCGACCAACTTCCTAACTCTCTCACTCAAAGTAACCAGAACCTTTCTACAATATTCGAAACTGCCCGTTTGTTCCATGTACGCCACTGCATATTTCTTCACCTGTTCATCATCTGTTTTCTGTTTCAGGATATTGAGCAGGACGAGATTATCGGGTGCAGCGCGAATGGAATGGATGATGGGGAACGAGAATTTTCCCTCTGTCAAATCCTCACACAGGCCTTTATTTTGCGAGTATTCCGGCGACGAGAGATTTTGGTAGTCGTCGCGGATTTGGAAAATGATGCCGATGAGGTTGACTAATGGGACACAATCCCTGGGCAGGGGTGAGCATGTTTCTGTTGATCGGTGGGGGCGGGGTACCCTCTACCTTGAAGTTTGACTCTCCGCTTGCATGAGCTTGACGGCGAGTCTGAAGAGCCCACCGGTTTTATTACCAACCATTTCTAAATAATCGTCTTCGGTGGGACAAGTGAGACTATCTCTCCAAAATAAATCCATACCCTGGCCGCGATGAAGATTTAATAGTTCCTCTGTGTAAATCGTAATCGCTTGTGGATTGTTGAGTTTCTGGAGTTCCTGCAATGCGCAAAAGTATACATAGTTTGCAGAATTGATCGTTTGCGCCGTACCAAAAATACTATGTGCGACGGGTAATCCACGTCGCAGCAATGAAGAATCCTCGACATCATCGACAAGTAATGAGGCTGTGTGCAACATTCCCACGACCTTGGTAATGACCTTTAAACTCTCCGGTGGTACCTCCAGCCATTCGTTGAATGCGGCGATCAATTGTTTCCTAATATCTTTTCCTGGATGTGCCTCCAAATAATCGTATGGACCGAACAATATCTTATCCTTCTCTGGAGCCCAGGAACTCCTTCCATGAAATGCCATATCATTTTTTGTATAGTTGATTGGATCTGGAGCCGCGCCTCCTTGAATTGAAGGATTCATGGCTTCGGAAGATTGAGAAGATTGTGCGATATGCATACTATTTCTCTGACTGATCCAATCGCCTTCCGAGACGGGACGGAGGACTGATTTCGAAGCTGGATGGTTGAGATTATTTTGACCGTTGGAGGAAGTTCGTGGAGGGATCGCGTTGGGAGAAGGAAAGTTTTCGGAAACCATAATGGAAGGACCTTTAGTTGGAAGAAGTCGCTGAAAGATTTGGGTCTGGCTTTATTTCCCACGTTGAATTGATAGGCGGGCGGGGTGAACAAGAATGTGATAGATTGATGCGTAACCCTTGCATGGATTTACGACGATGAAGAAGGGAATTTGTAATGAAGCTTCCTATTTCTGATTATTTGGATCCATTTTCCAATACTGATGGAGATGGAGAAGGAGATGGAGATGGAGAAGGAGATGGAGATGGAGAGATAGATAGCATGTGCGCGCCGTAACTGCAAGTAAGATGGATAGATTCCTAGTAGCTAAGTAAGATAGGGAGATATATGTTGGCAGCCAGCAGAATGTACGGGTTACTTTATAGTTTACTATGCTTAACATGATTAGTTTTGGTCGTGCACAAGGCCGGGAGCTTTAGAATTTCTTCACGCGTTGAATAATAGACTTCCTGCAGATGTCTGTGAGAGTGATGGTTGTGTGATGGTTGTGTGATGGTTGTGCGATGGTGGTAGTAATCGTGGTAGTGGCTGCGTGGTATGTTCATCTGATCGTGTGCGCATACAGATACCATAGCTAGGTAGGTATCCATGGATGGATAAGTAGGTATGTAGGTACTACCTAGGTATATTGATGAACACGCCATATTGAAAGAAATGAGGCTGAAGGTAGCTATTTCTTTCTTCTCTCCTTCAGCATCAGAAGAAAAGGCTGTATGGACCTTGATATATATATATCTATAACTCATGTATTGCTATGGCGTCATGTATATTTCAAGATCATAATGACGATAACAATACTTAACTAATACGAGTCATAAAATCATAAAATCATAAAATTAACAAATTAACAAATTAACAAACTTCCATACAAAAAGAGAACTACATAGGTACCCACAGACAAACTCACTCAAACCACGGTCAATGCATCAGCAAATATATACCGCCATCAATCCTCCATCTCGCTACCGACTACCTACACTACCTACCACAACTACCCAGTATCTTCCCTGAAAGCCTTCCCGTCGCTTTGGATTCGTTGCCCTGAGAACGATTAATAACTAGGTAGGTATACCCTAAAACCATTATACTTCTTCTAAAATTTCTAAAATAAGATAGGATATCTACCTTCTTTCCTTCCCATATTACATTCTCTTCACTTTTCTGTATTAACATAGTCAATAAATCAATATTTATTCCTTCTTTCCCATTGTACAATTCAAACCATTCGTTGCGATTTTGCGCAATCAATCAATCTTTCCCAGAATCAGATAGTGAACCCAAAAATTCAATTCATTCATTCATACACGCCCACCAATCCACGCATTCAAGAACACAAACACGAACACCAAAAAATTTAAAACCATGGAAGCATTACTTTCTCTCTCTTTCGATAATCTTTCTTCCTACGATGCTTCCAAAATTCGCAAAGGTCTCCGACAGGTCGAAGGACTATTAGCCCAAATTTGTCTGTCCAATTCTCCCAGATCTAATGTCGATAAACGTCGTTCAGTCATTGATCCGGGAAAAGAACCTCCGCCACGAAAAGCCCTGAGTGAACTACCTAATGATGCCGCATTTCGAGAATTCTTTCGATTACAAGAGGGTTTCGAGTGGAATGTCGCTATGCGATTGGTTACGTGCTTGGATCGATTGATGGGAAAGACGAATGATGGACAAAGTGATTTGTTAATCATTCAAACATTGGAATTGATCCAGGGGGTTCTGTTATTACATCCTCCTTCGAGGAGTTTATTCTCTCGAGAATTATACATGAACGTATGTTTCCATGCTCAATCATATTCCCACTCTCTCAGAATAACGCACATGATAAAATACTAACCTTCCACAGCATCTTCTCGATCTCCTCGAACCAGTCAATTGTCCCGCAATCCAATCTGCAACCCTTCTCACCCTCGTCTGTTCCCTCATTGACACCCCCAAAAATACTCGCACATTCGAAACGCTCGATGGTCTCTTAACCATAACCTCCATCTTCAAATCCCGCGAAACAAGTCGCGATGTAAAGCTCAAACTTGTCGAGTTCCTCTACTTCTACCTCATGCCCGAAACCCCATCACTACCATCCGGCTCATCAAACTCCATGGCAATAATGCGACGCAGTCCCAGCAAACTCCCCGTTGCAATCAATAACCGAGAAGAATCAGGTAGAAGAAGAGCACACAGTGAAAGCGAACATACCAAAACACTAGAGGAGAAACAAGAATTGCTCGGGCGATATCTCCATAATGTCGATGATTTGGTAGCAGACCTTCGAGAAAGTCATCCTTTTGGAGGAAGTATTGGAAGTTAATTTACGCGGTCAAAGGGAGTTGCATTTCTAAACGAGATATGGTGAAGGGGGGGAATTGTTACAGATACTCACGCATGAAGATTTCTTTCGTACATTTGGACACGCATGTCACGCAACGCATTAATGGGAGTTTTTGTTTGGTTAATTGAGATTGAGGCGTTGGAGGAAGTTTTATTTATTTAATTTTGGCGTACGAGTTTCCTTTAGGAAATTCATGAGTGTGAGTCTAGAGTTGTTACCGACATACCAGTATCTAGTGCAAAGGAGAGAGTATAGATGACCTACAAGGAAGGAGATGTTTTTCCTCTCCTTCTTTGGATCTTAATGTTTACATGGTATTGCATCAAGCTCATCAAATATCATATCATATCATTCTCAATCTCCATCTAATACCAATACCAATATCATATGAATATTTTCACAGGAATGTACAATGTACAATGGAAAATGTAAACGGCATTTCTTACTCCGGAATATATGCACAATGGAACTTCGAACCTCCAAAGGTGGTGTTTGTGTCTTACAGTAGCCGCGGACTTGATGATGATGTGCATAGCATGTTGCCTAGACTAGTAGGTTGATACATATGCATACATTCACCTCTCCATTGGATTGGGAATACTAGGTTGGTGGTTGGTAGGTAGATAGATGTTTACTTACTTGTCTGTTTTGGTTTCGGTGATGGGTGAAGAGATGGATGGATTGGAGATAGGTGTTTTTTATGTATGTATGTAGGTAGGTAGGTAGGTAGGTATGGTATGATATTAATGAACTTTGCTATCTTGGGGTTTGTAGTTGAGATTTGGATTGGATAATAGGTAGGTACTTTAATTCATGTACCTATCTTCTGTTTGTAGTTATGATGGGGTATAGTATATATAATAAGTCGGGTACCTACTTTCGGACCACCCCTGTTTTGAGCCACTCTTTATCATCAAAAATCTCAAAAAATAAATTTTTTAACTTTCTTATTTATGGATAGAATTTATTGAAAATTTATATATATATAATTCAGATCGTTTTGAATCTACTCTAAAAAAATTAGATTTTTCGGATTTTTCTATATTAAAATTTAAAGCTTCAAAATATCGATTTTTTAATTTATATAGAAATTATACACAAATTTAAAACTTTTATAAAAATCTTTAATAACTTTTTAATAACAATTATTAAAAGAAAACTATATATCTTTTTGAAAGTTTTAAATTTAAATTTATATTAAAAATCACTAAAAAAATTAACTATTAAAATATAAATATTAAGAAAATCTTGATCTTAGTATATTTTCAAAGTAGTCTATATACCAATGAACTACGTTATAATGATTCTATATATTTATATATTAAAATTTTAAACTAATAATATAAACTAAGACTAAATACTAAGATTAGTTTTAAATATATGACTCTTATATACAGGCATATAGGCCTTGATATTTTTAGTCTCTTATATTTAGGTTTGTTTATAGTTCGAAGTTTAGTTCTTGTTTGAGAAATTATTAGTAATGAATACAGTTAAATCTAAAGCTACTCGGTCCCCCATCACCGGGATATAAATATTAAGGCTATCTAATGTTTATTTTTCTTCTCAACTTATTCTCTATAGATATCTACATCTATACAAAATTGTACTCCATCATATTATTCTTCTACTCAGTATACAGAATACTATCTCTCTTACATCATCCCAATAAACACCTTCACACACACCTAAATCTCACTCCACAACCTTCCCCAAAATCCATCACCTCAAATCGATTCTCGCTACACCCAGCATACAACTTTATTTATACATATCTCGCTGCACATCCCCGGGTTCGCAAAATCATCAACACCAATAATATCAAGCGATATCTAAAAATGGCTTACGGCTGACCTCAGCTTTTGGATGCTGTAAATGTTAAGAGATGATTGAACTGGGACCGGGTAGAATGGATGGATGGAGGTATGGAAATGTAAGATAAGACTAGATTGGATTTTTCATCGGAGAGTTTGTTTGTTGGCTCGTGGAGATTTTGAATTTTGATGGGGATTGGATGTTGTTTTTTGCGGCTGTGAAGTTTCTTTTCCTGTGACTTTTTTTCCTCGTCTTTTGCTTTCTCATATTCTTTTACGTCTCCATCAGCGGTTCTTGCACGAGGGATTGATGAATTCATTGTGATTATTTATTCATTTCCACCAGTGTGTCACCAGTGACGGAGACTTTTTACCTTTCCCCGCATGCGATTGAAGGGATGTTACATGCCTAGATATTTACTTGTATACATATATCTTGGCATGGATCATTCTATCTGAAGTTCGCCATAGAAACTATTTTGAATCCTTCAAGATGCCACTGTCGATATCGATATTTTCGCGGTCCTTGTGGCTTTTAATATTTCTGGGATTGAGCTTCACGAATGTGGGACAGGTGCGAGGACAATTTGGAGCTGTGAGAATGGAAAATGAGGGGAATGGGAATGTATTAAGTCCGAGATATTATACGGGATTGAATGAGGGAAGATTGTTGGAGCGAGATGGGGGACTTTGTCCGCTTGGATCTCATTCTTGTAATTATTCTCAACTTTTAACTTATCTTCCCATCTTGCATCCTTTATATTTTTCATTGCGCTGCCCATTTCAATTGTATCATGCGAAAAACATCCACTGATTGCAATTTCTTCTCAAAGGTCTCGATATAGATGTAGCAAAATGTTGTTCCAACACCGAATACTGCTTCATATCCCCCTTCAAAGGTCCCTCCTGCTGCGCTATCGGCAGTAATTGCGATTCACCCTGCCCCTCCGCTTCCTATCTCAGCAACAGAACAATCACTATATCCTCCACCACAACCATAACCACAACATGTGTTCCCCGCGCCTGTCTCTCCATCTCTCACTACCAATGCGCTAGTTCTCTCGGCGGAGGCTGTTGCAACTACAACGCGCAATGCATTTTCTCAGACGGCACTAGTGCATGCGCCGTCACAATCTCTCCTTCCTCAACCCCCGCTCTCGTCTCTGTCATCCCATCCGGATGTACCACAAACCAATTCGCCTGCGCTAGTTCCATGGGTGGCGGCTGCTGCGATAATGGATTCGGATGTACGGTTCTCAGCGGTACAAATTACTGCGCTGCTACTACCGGTACCGGATCTGCTATCCGCACAGGAAGCAACGGAATCTTAGCAACCGGGATCTTAGACTCCAATTCTACATCCAACAACCACGGTCTCTCCACCGGCGCCAAAGCCGGCATCGGTGTCGGAGTCGCGCTTCTCGTATTAGCATGTCTAGGAGCCTGCGTCTATTTCTTCACCATCCATCGGCGTCGAGCTCTCCAGTCGAAATCCTCTTCTCATCCGGATATGGATATTCCACCCGCTGCCATGTCCCAGATTTCCGGGTCTCGCTTCTCCCAGAAATCGGAATCGAAAGCGGGGTCGAGAATTTTGAAAAGACAGGGTGCAGAGACATTTGTGAGAGGGGATTCGGATTATTTTGGGAAGAAAGCGCAGAGTGGTCCGTTTATGGAGAGTGAGGAGACGAGTCCGGCGTGCGGGAGTCAAAGGGGAGTTCCGGTGACGCCGCAGAGTCCGAGGGACATTGCGGCGCCGGTGGAGATTGGGGGGAAGGAAAGGGAGAAAGAGGAGAATGAAAATAGGAAGGGGGGGAGGAGTGGAAATGCGAGTTTGGTGACGACACCGGGGGAGGGGTGGGAGTATTTTAAAGGAGGGAAGTCTCAGGAGGGCATTGCGGAGTTGGAGTAAAGAGTAAGGGGAGGAAAGTTTATTCGCTGGGAGTTTGATGGGGAAGTGGGAGAGATTACTTCCATTCTCGTGTTTGAAAATGGGGCTTGGAGATATGAGGTAATGCACATGTAAGGAATATTATACGGTTTCTAAGGATGTGTTTTTTGTTTTGAAATGCAATGCTAGGATGAATGGGGTTTGGATATTCTCAGTCACATATCTAATTCGAATTTGGATCTCACTCACTAACTGTTGCTCCTCGTCTCATCTCATCTCCATCCCATCACATCCCGTGATCACCCTTCGCTGACTACCTAGGTACTTATCTACATTTCTTAATATTCTTTTCCTCCAACACAAATCCAAATATCCCTCCCTCAAAACCTCAGATTTTCCATCCCAGATCTCAGAATCCTCTAGTTATCACGAAATATTCTTGGGAGTTTCTAGTTACGGGAACTTAGGAGTGTTCTTTGGAGAAGTTAGAACTGGCGGGGATTGAGGAAAGGGAGGGGAAGAGATGGATAAGGTCACCGGGAGTAAACTAATTATATGTATATGTATATATGTAGATTAAATTTGTTCTTTGACTATATCATTGGCGCAGTAAAATATAGGAGGTATTTGTATTGTGATGTGGGTGTGGATAAAGATACTTTCTGATGTTTAGGAGAGTAAATAGGAGGTTCGGAGTATAGATATAAGAAATGGGAGATGGAAGGAAGAAACAAGGCACGCAATCGAGTTTTTTATCTAGATATTGGCGAACGGTAGGATAAGCGGGATATCATCCCTTTAGAGTTCCTTTAAAGCATTTTTCTGAAATTCGCATGTCCTAATTTGTATATACATGCAGATCGATTTCAATACCACTTTACTTTGTGTGCAGGGAAACAATCCGGTGTCGTAATGAAACTATACCACGGTATGTCGTTGGAGTGTATAAAGAAGATATCACTTAGCATACAAACAAAGCACCAACTATCCCAATTCTCTTCTCAAATGCTAATGCCAAGCCTACACAACAGGACAGAAAAGATCCAGTCCAGAAACCAAGGACTTTGCCCATCCTTCACTAACAAATAATTGCGATGATTATGATTTTTGTCTTGAATAAGGTTGCTGGTTCCGTCAAAGCCACTTGTCGAATGCTGGAACGGGATGAGATGTCCTTTTGCTCAAATTATTGAGTCTATGTCATGTCTTCTTTCCATATCTGCCCAAATACTGTGGAATTATCACTTATCACTATTAACACTGTCTAAGGCTCTTACAAACACCGATATTATGCTCGAATGCTGATCGAGTCTAACTTTAAACAAGAGAATTTGAAATGATGCTCAAAAGACAAAACTTCAGAACGCAATTCAACAGACTCGCTCCTTAGATTTGCCATCGCTATCACATGAAATGACGAGGCATTGAATTGTATCGTTTGGCGACAGTGGTGATGATGGCGATGAAAATTCAGCGGAATGCCCTTGAGACTTCAGAAATTTGCAAGCAGGAACAAAAATGGGGGGAAAGTAGCTGTATTAATAATGTTCTACTATCCCAATTATCCTCCTCAATACTATCTGCAACAAATATCCTCAGCGCACACCAGAAACAGAAACAAAAACTTCGCTAATATCCATCAATAATTACTAGGTAAACAAAGACTTCCGTAGCGAAAGCCATGACACTTTTCCCTCTCTGTCGATTCCTCTAGTAATCATAGGTCTCCTCCAAACCGAAGGAGCTTGGGCCAGTGTAGCTCTGGATGTCACCAATGGTGGTTGGAACCATAGTGAAATCGCTGTTGGGGAGCAAGTGGATAGCAGTTTGGTTGCTAGCGACAGAAACCGGTTGGGAAACGAAGAAGTTAAGACCGGCATCTTCGCGGGTGGCCCAGAAGGTGCGGGAGGAATCGCCGCAGGAGCCGCCCCATTGTGGGATGTTTGGGAGAGTTCCGTTGGCGTTGCCGGTGACGAGAGCGGTGCATTTGACACCGACTTTTTCCATGCTTCCGGGTTGGATCACGGTCAAGGAGTAGCTGATCGAGGGTTAGTTTAGATTTGAGAAGAGAAGAGGGAGGAATCTTACAGGCACTGGCTGCTGTGTGGGACGCAGGCGGCGCTGAAGTCAGAGACTTGGAAGAGGTTGTAGCGCTGTTCGATGGCGGCAGCCGATGCAAGAGCAACGGTGATGGCGGAGACGATAGCGGATGAGAATTGCATGTTTGCGGTTGGATGATTGATTTCTTGACGAAAAGTTGAGTTGATTGGTTTAGATGTTGGTTATTGTGAGTTGAGATGAGACTGTTTGATGATTGAATGATGATTTACACAGCAGGATATCTCATTCTTATATATTATTCCCATCGCTCTAGATTTCCCTTTTAATGGAGTGTCTCCAGAGTGTATGTTTGGATACGAGATGCACGATGTACAGACGACACAGAATGATGCCGATCTGTGGAGCCGGCAATCCTCGCTCTCGTATTCAGTGGATGCTGTGGCTGTAAGTGGGACGAGTCGAACGTCATTGTATTCAGGTTGCTTGTGCTGGCTTGTAGCCTTGTATGCATGACATTATGTCCCTACATCACATCGCACGTTGGATAAAGATCCAGGCACATTTGGCATTAATGTTAAAATTACTAGACGGAGGGTATGGGTAAAGCCAAGTCATTGGTATTCTAATGATAGGTACCTCGGTGTTTACTATTAGATGTCAATAATTTTCACAATTTATTTATCGTAATTTATTACAAACGTCACAAACATCTAATCTCATGAATGATGCATATCAGACTCAAACCACAAAACCCTAAAGTTTCCATAGAATCACTAGAATCTTCTATACAGATTCCAAAGTCAATCATGCTTGCTGTTAGGTTATTCTTGAGCTTAATTGTCCCCGCAAATAGTATCAAGTACTCTGTACTTTCAAATTCAGCACCATCAGCTAATCAGTACTCGTGCTGCCAGAAAGTATGCCACACTCCACCTCAATATGGGCCACCAATCATCCTGTATTTTACCACCTCATGGGACGTGCTTATGAGTGGAGCATGGGCATACTTTCTGGCCGCACAAGTGTCAAGTACCGGTTATATACCCGCTGTGAAACCCCCGAGATCTGCTCCCACTATTTAATACGAACCCCTATGAGGTAGGTGGGTAGTAACGGAACAACTTATCCGGCTGTACACTGGCACCGGTAGCCCCGATCGAAGAACTAATTCTATGCGAACAAATGATGAAGAATACTTTACGAGAAGATGGAAATGTAAGATCTTACTAAGTTATTAGGAGAATAAGTGACACAATTTACCTGAATAAATGCCACCAGCCTCACGCATAGCCCCTTTTTGCCTCACTCACTCCACTTCCGTATTTTCGGTGGGGTGAAATCTAATTTGTCGAAAGTTTATTTGAACAATGCGGTTTTTCAACGTGTTGGCAGTTAAGGGTCAAATTTGTCAAAAGTGCTGCTGGTCCCTATTTTTGGAAAAATCATGTATGCAGGTACCTAATGTTGGCATATTTTGCAACCTTTGTACCGATTCGCTTGCAATTCTCCGACGCTCGGCTGACCTTTCTTCGTACTTTGTATTGTAACTGGATCTTGTCCATGGCCTGACGCTTTGATCATAACCTGCTTTACTCAGGTCAATACGAGTGGTTGATCCATACTTCGTAGGTAGGCCGAGTTGTATTTCTACACGTGTGGAATACTCTGACTTCGCTATATCGACAGCACAAGCAATTCGCTCCTTAATCCGTTTTGTCAGTGGGTAAAGGGGTGAATAGAGTGGTTGGAAAAACACTCACCGGTCGACAAAATCCTCGTGTTGATTTATGAGAAACCTACCTATGTCTCCACGTTCATCTCATTTTTATTTCATTTTCTCATTTGGCCCGAGTTACACACACAGAGGACATGATCGTGATAAAAGTTTTGAATGGCAGATCACACTGGTTGTCAAGAGTCAAGACATGAATCCTACGAAAATTAGAAATTTCGTATTCATCATTTTTGATTGTTTTGAAATAAAGAATATCAAGAGTAAAGATTTATTTGCTACAAATTTAATCTCATATCGAGATTCCAGTGCTCTATCAATATGATCGGAAAGTGTAGACAGTATCCGTTAGCCATACAATTTTCCACAGATCCTCAGAACCATTGTAACGAACGACTAAATTTCGGGCTTCCTCCAACTACCCAGGCCTTTTGGGCATCAATTAAAATAATGGAGCTATGAACTTTCACCTTGGTGAGAATTGGACGACTTTGGTTTCATACAACCAAAGCCGTCTCTCGTGGTTGTGTCGAACCAACTCTTAGGGAGTAATCACCATCTGGTACTTTAAATAAAATCCATCAAGTCATCTATAGTCAGGCACAGCAAAAGAAGAATATCGGAGGTCCAATGCCATGCTCAATCTCTTTTGGTTTTGATTATAGTCTCATTTCTACTTCCTGTCTTTCTCTTCCCTAGCCTAGCGCGTATGGTATGTCTCTAGAGATAAAGGCCGATATAGTAGCCTCCGTCAGCTACCCCATTCATTGGAGTATTCCACGTGAAACTTGAAAAAGAAGGAAAGCATCGTGGGCACACCATCGCAGAATAGTGCGTGATTCCTCCAAACTTATCAGGATCCCTCATCAGAGGGCATTCACTTTCTACTTCTTTGCTTAATTCAGCCGACTTTTCATAGCTCTCTCCGTTATGTTCGGGAAGGTGCGGCATGAAAAATTCAATTTGATACCTTTCGCTACCCGGAACCGGGGAGTAAGGAGTATTATAAACATACATTTCTTTCCGCACCTGGAATGAACTACCGGGATACAACCCTTGATTCTTGTCATGGGGGGTAGCCATTCTTCCCCCATATATCCAATCACCGACGACGCTCCATTGACCCCATGGAACTATCATGACCCAAGGCCCGCAAGCTCCAGTATCTGTGTCTGGTTTGAGTTTCTCCCAAGGATTTCCCATCGAGATATTTGCCGATATTCGAACATGAGAAAAGCAATTAACACTACGTATCTCGTCACTAAAGGGCATTCCACCTTGATCGGCAGGTAGAGCACGCTGGCAAATCTCAAGAGCAGCTTCATAGTCATTTCGAGTTCTACCTTGAGGTCTTGGATGATTTTCCTCCAGATCTTTTCTTAAAACTTTAGAAGTCATACAAAGAAGCTTTTCGAGAGTTGGCGCGAATGCCTCCAACGCGTTCCAATTCTTGTTATCCTCTGTAAAAGTATCATTTTGAGCTAGAATAGGAATGGTTATCCTCCCGTAGATTTTCGCTGCGTCTGATTCATGTGATTGCAAGTCTTCTGAGGGCCCGGATGGTATAGTAAGGTCGACTGCGGAAATGAATGGGCGGATCTTTTGAAGGTTGGTCTGATTTGCCTCCCAGACATCAAAACTACGTAGTCCGTCGAGATTTACAAGAACCGCAAGACCACTCATTTTTTATAACTTCAAGTACCTAGCAGCCCGAACGTTAGCATCCAAACAACGAAAGAGATATCTGTGCATTCTGGAATTCAATTTGACAATAGGAGTGATTGGGTAGAAATACATACTTAGAATATAGTTCTGTTCAAAATCTATGCCGTGTCGTTATTTGAATCCAACCAAAAATTGATGATCTCTAAATTGAAGTCGAGCAAAGCTTTCATTGATGTTTATGTTCAGGTCTGAGAGTTCCTGCAAAAGCAACATCCGATGTAATACTCTTACTTAACCCATCTTCGCACTTTCCAAATGCTTATTTGGTAGCACATAAGGGAATTGATGTATCTTTACTTCCGCTTCGAGACTATTAGTTCATCATTCTATGTATATGTCATAAGTGGAAGGAACGAGATGGCAATAGCTTCGCGTGAAAATATCAACATACACGCAGTTCCAGAAATAAAAATGTGCCATAAAATGATTTGCAATCTGTCTCCTTCCTTCTTTAAACGCACACTCGATTGGTGTATTGCAATTCGTTCGGATTGGACTAAACCAGATGATCTTTGAAAAAAAGTTCAATCCTCAGACGCAGCAAAGTAATCACCACTATACGCAGCTTATTTACAGCCCCGAATCCCAATTTGGATCTATAATGCTTTTGAACCTTTTATTGAAAGAACTTCTTGCAATCAAATACTAAAAGGCTACCCAGTCCCCTTCAGTGTACCTTCTGTCACTTTGATGAGCATGCTTTTTGATGAGGAGTCCCTTGCAAAAGAGGAGTTACTCATCACTAAAGCAACAGATTCCCTACTTCCAGCCTCTCCCCTCTCTTAACATCTCCTGCAGCAAGAGCTTTCATCTTAAATTCTCTTGATTCTCAATAGGACTACTGCCATTCCCCCATCTACCCAATGTGAACTTTCCATTGGAAAGTCTCCAGTACCGAAAGCTCTGAGTGGGCTCGTAATCCATGAAAGATCTGTTTATTCAAGATGACTAGATTACCTTTTGTTCAATCGTTTCCTTCTGTGCTTGACTCCTTTACGATCACCCAAAAGGAATATTTGGTGTAGTTTATTATACTTTCAACTAACGATCCTCTTCCGAAATTTCAGTTTGCAACTTGAAGAGAAGAATATGTAGCTTGGTTCTGTCCTTTTAAGATTCACAATGTAATTCGCTGCAAATCTCAAATGAAAAACTCTAGACTAGCAAATTTGGCCATATGATTTTTTTTTTCACATCGGGACTTGCTCTTATATTGATTTGAAGCTAGTGAAGAGGGCTCCCATAGCATAGATCCTTCTCTTAATCCCTGATGAGATGAAAGAGCAGTTGCACATATTACTATCATTTGTATGGTTGAAGCACTTCGGCTATTGGGCTATATAGAATATTGGAAACGAATATGTTGGATTGAATTTTCCAGAGCCTCTTCCCAATCTATACATATTCAAAGAGAACCAAGATGTGAGATCAATCTTGAGCGTCTGGTTGCATCAATTTTCAATAGTAACTGATGTGGTCACTGGTCATTCATCTGGTCAATTCAAACTGTTGGTTCTGCTGAAGTTGGCAAAGCGATTTCGATAGGATGCATGTTCTTCAAGTTTTATAATAATGCTTTTATACTTCACTAGAACTAATCAATTCTATCAATTCTAGTGGCATACCGATAGACAATATATAAGTATTTCAGCGAGATGGGATACAAAATATGATCAAGTCCCTGCCAAGCTTGCCGTTCTTGAAGTTGTGCGAACCTCTGATCTGCCTGAGTATCATACAAGCATTCTCAATACCCTTTCATTGATAAAAGTCAAATATCTATCAGAGAGCTGGTGTAACTATCAAATAATAGATCCAAGCAATGAAAAAAGTAGATTGCACTATTCTTGTTATATCGCCAGATAAGTCATTCGAGAACGTGAAATGTGAGATGATGTTCATGGTGGCGATCCAAGAAAGTGGCTGATCATTATATTACTGAATAAATTTTGTGTCTCTATCTATTACTCAAAATCAGGAATATATATGAATGGCCTGAAACGCAGTTTCAAAGGAGTAAAAAGAACACCTTAGTCTATCTCATTTCCCTGGGGAAACACATCACTTGTTCAGAAACTCACTATCATCCCCGGAACATACAATCTCTTATATGCTGCTAGTATCTCCATTGTTCCTATCTCTTCTATCGGCAGAGATGACTATATCGGGATATCTTTGAAGAGTTCTTGATATGTCGAGAACTCTAAGACAAACGCTACTATCTGAGATACTCTAGCTTCTAGTCTTCTCTAAGCTTTATAACCAGGAATTTCATAGACATAATATCATCATCTTCGAATTGATTATCTTATCTATGTTCCGTCTTTACGTGCATATTTCAGAAGATCTACAATATTTACGTGCCCAAATGCTTCTGCTCTTGATATTGGTGTTTGGTCGTCCATATCTCGCGCATATATATCAATCCCCTCAACATCGACGACCACACGTACAATATCCTCAAGACCCAATGCTGCCGCCCACGAGAGTGGAGTGCGTCCATTTTTGTCTTTTTGATTTGCATCTACTTTTCCCGATGACAAAAGCACTTGGACGGTTCTTGGATCGGACTTTTCCCAACGCCCATGCTAGTGGTGTCCACCCATCGATATCTTCTGCATCAGCTCCAATTCCGTCACATTTGATGAGGTAATCAACGATCTCATGGTACCCACCACCTACAGCCCATGATATCGCGTTCCTCTGATCACACATCATGCCACTATTTAATGGAACCTTACTTTCAATCAATTTATAGACTATACAACCTTTGCAAACTAATCCTTTCCCCTGCTACAATCTCGCAATTGACGAAGCACACCAAAAAATATGACAATTCTTGATATCAACTAATCATCACAAATCACAATCATCCTAGCATCAAAGTGGACATGCTGACATCTCACCAACGATGAAATGCTGATCGCGTATGTCCACAGTGAGATTCGTAATCCTCACTAAATTGTGCCTCCCACATACATATACATATACATATACAAGGTACAAGTAAAGCTAGCAGCATCATCACATAACACGAGGTATCAATCAGTTTACGCCAAACTTGTAAGACATACATTGCAATCAATATGGTCTCCTTCTCAGTATGTGAAGACATCTACACATCCACTGCTGATCCCCAAAATATGATTCTCCATCTAGAGCAGTCAAGATGATTACTCACCGGAGTCTGTTCGGAATGTGGTAAGTTGTAATATCTCATCTTCGTTACAGATAGATAGATATATATATGCATTCTAATTTTCGGAAATCCAGCTCTTAGATTTTCCCAAGATTGGTGAAAGGCATACTGGGTTTGTGAAGAGTATCACACCACTAGATACCGCTGATTCTCTTGCCGTAGGCAAAACTCTTCATTGCGTTATGAAAGATTTTGAGTTTGAGGCTATAATTACTGTGAGTATATCCAAATCCCCCAATCCCCAAACCATTTCTTCAAACCACCATTCAAAACCACAATAACCTAGTCAAAAAACACATTAACATCTCATCCCTGCATAGGAAAACTCTCCAAGCAAATTCGCATGGCAAAAACCACCTATTATGACAATCTCCGGTCTGCATTCATTTTTTATTGAACCGAGTGAGAGAAATCCCGGAGACACGATATTCACACAGATAGAGGAATAATCTGGGGGAATTGCGTTTTTGATGGTGCCTTGGCTTTTGGGGAGACTTGTTAAAGGCCAATTTGAGGGATTTGATGAGAAGGTGTGAGAGTCTTTGACGATGGGGAGTAGGTTTAACGGGAATTTTTTGTTTTGCCGGAAGCGTTGTGGTTTTGGGGTAGTCTAGATGCTGTGGTGAACTACATTTTTAATAGACTTATACATGACTTCATGCTATATACAAGTAATTGGCCTGGCTTAAAATATATCGAGATTCTTACAAAGACGCCGAGTAATAAGATGAGATTTCAGGCATTTGCAATCAAGAATCATCAATAGAGGATATTATGCAGTAAGGAACAGAGTTCCGTATTCATTTGAGTTATTAAATTCATCGTTGTATATAGATTCAAGCTAAGAAATCCATGCAATTTCCTACCAAGGAAAAGTAAAGTAAAAATCCTCCCAACCATTTTCCCATAAAACATAAGCATGGCCGTAAGATTTTGCAACTTGCTCAATCCCTTTGCGCAATCTCGCCCACCAATAAATAGGAAATCCAAAGCTCAGCTTCCAGGCTCGCATTTGCAATCTAATGTGCAATGCAATGCATCTCGAATCGAATCTATCCTGCCACACAGCTAATCACCTCAGTCCATCATCCCTTGAAGAATAAACCAATCTAAGCAGAAGCAGCTGCAGTGTTAACCCCCCTCTCCTTACAATACTTCTCAACTTCTTTCTCCAACTGCTCCTTCTGTCTAATAACTGCCTCCATAACATCCTTGACATGTTCTTTCTCCTCGCCCATTCCCTCACCCTCATTACCAACTTCCTTCCAGATTCTCGTCATTTCACTTAAAACCGCACCGAGTTGATTGGGCAACCAAGTAACGATTGGAGAACCACCTGTGGCAACTGGATGCGTGGTTTTCTTGAGAATGTATTCACGAGTGAAACACCAATGACGCCATCTGAAATCACGGACTTGGTCCATGCAGAGGAGATAGAGAGCAGTGGATGCAGGAGAGGAAAGAGCAAAGGATTTGAGATCAACAGCCAAGGAGGCGTTTTGAATGTGTTCAAGGAATTGACGGTGGTTTCCTGGACGGTAGGAGCGGAAGTCCTTGAGAATTGAGGTCAAAGGAGTGGTTGGCATAGGAATGTTGAGGAGGTTATCCATGAGTGGAATCTGGAATTAGTTAGACTGATGACTTTATGTTGAAGATTTTTATCCGAGAAAGGAAGGGAAATATACCATAGAATCATTAGCACCAGATTCACCACGGAAACTCAAGGGTTCTTCAGAAACACCTTCGTAAATGACACCATGTGGGAACATAGATTGGCTAGTAATACCAAAAATGAATGTTCTGAAAGAGGTGTAATCACCAGGCTTCGATTTCTGCCACATGCCTCATGACGTGTCAATTTCAGTCGTCTAAGAGATGAGAATGTAAAGGGGTAAAACAGAAGAAGTAGGAAACATACCATCCATGACAGCATTAACTTTAGTCATAGCTCCCAAAACTTTTCTCATACCTCCCTCAAATGAATCTCGATCATGTTTCTCAACAGCTTCCAAAGAACTTACAGCACCATCAACCAGTGGTCCAGAATTAGAAACCATGTCTACATGGACGAGAACAAAGCCGGCTTCACTGGAAGTGTGATCAAGACCATGTTCAAAGGCACGGATGAGACGGAAGTTATCGTATGTGTAGCCTTTGCTTGGGTCCTCAAGACGGTAGTTGTAAAGAGCATAAGAGCCAGCATACTCCATGAATGGTTTGAAACCAGCACTATGGACGAATGAGATTAGCATTTAATGAGATGAGATTGGAAGGTAGATAATTGTAAGTGAGCTCAAGGTAATGGTGATGGATGATCGTGAAGAGTGAAACAAAAGTGAGAAATATACATACAGCTCAGCACATCTACTGATAGGCAAACTAATAACTCTAGGTAAAGTTTGTCTTCCCAATCCATACTCTTCACCTTTAAGGAATCTCTCATGACAAGGTTCCAAAAGGTACGCACTAGCTAAGAAGCTATAATCGCGATAGAGAGCATTCATGAGAGGTAAGTTATCTTGATACTTATTGATGGCATCGGTAAGATCTGGAAGCTCATTGAGAACTGTCTCTCCAAGGGTGAAAGTAGCTAGAAGACCTGGCTTGCCATCAAGAGTCTTGATAGGCATGCGTTGAAGGATAGACTCTAGAGCATCGAATTCGGAGGGAAGAGTGATAATAGGTTCAGTACGTGGAAGGAAACCTCTGGTTGTTGATACCATGAAGGCCGGCAATGAGTTATCTTCTAGCTTGGTATCCCTAAGGACCTCGAAGTGTGGGAGAGGAGTGGGAGTAATTGAACCCATGATGAAAATGAGTTTAGAAGATGAATAAGAGGCTTGTGATGAAGTGGAAATGGGTGTAAAATGGTAGAAAAAGGGGGTTTGGAAGTTTCTGAAATTTTGTAAAAGTTGTGTTGTTAGAAGACAAAGAAGAGTTCCACGAAAAGTGCGAAATTTCTGTCCTTTTTATCTTGTTCTTCGTGGCCGGAAGGCATTCCGGCCACAGCAAGGACATGACCTCTCGCTCCTGCTAAATGGGTAGTCGCAGTGGATTCAAAGATAAGACATCGATGATGAGTAGTAGAAAGGATTCACTTGAATAATTCCATTGTCAAAAGGATATTTTAGAGTAATATATAAGAATTTGAATCACTGACCAAAATCAAAGGGGGAAATGAAGATATACCCGACCACGTGCTTGTGCACCTTTTCATTCACCCCAAAATTGTATGAGTTATGCTTTCATGGGACTGACCATAAAAGCATTAATATATTCAATATGAACTTCCATACGAACTTTCATACAAAATCGAGGCTTCCATCACAAGTGCTTGTTCTAACATCAATGAGTGTTGATATTGGTGATGGTCATTCATTTCTTTGTACCACCCCCAAATATGTTCGTTGATAACCCCTTTATTATGATTGGTGAATTGGCCGGAAAATCGACCGCGGTGGAGAGTCAGCTAACGAAGATTTTGTGAGATAACATTGACTATAAATGATTGGTCAAATATTCTCTTGATAAAGCTAGACGTCTCACGAAATTAAGCCGGAAGTTTGATAGCAAGAATGGTCATGTGATTATCACATACACTCATAAGTGGGATGATTTGGGGTTTGTTTGTCGTTTTCCAGTTCAATTCTCTTGAATCTGAAGACTCAAGTTTATAAGTTTGTGAGTGTTGAAAAGTTTGAGGTAAGAACAACTAGAGCAAGTAAAACTATGTAGTGAGTGCATGACTTTGTAGGAAACTTCACAAATTACATTCCAAAAAGGTCCTTCGAAGTCATGCTGCACTGACCCGCAACGTGTGGTTGCGAATCGGCTATTATCGGCGAGGAGTAACCTTATTTCGATGGACATTTCCCGTGACTATTGGGTATTTTCCTCGAACACTTCTGCAACAAAATATCAAGGAACTCCTTGGTATTATGAAGCCAAAGTACTCATGAATCATAGTTGGCACCGCTTATACCATCCGGAATTGTGCTAATTGTCGTCGCCAGATATTGTCTCGAGTTATGAACAAAGTGTTTTTCTCTTCAAGTCATGAAGACAGGAACGATATTCGTGAAAAGCTACCAAGCGTTCGAGTTACGAATGCTCTACGTGATTGCCATTATTTGCTATTGAATGTGTGGAAGCTTGGAGTTGATATTAATATTCGGAGAAAATGAAGATCGTGCTCCTATATGTTTTTTTATGTTCATAATGGGAAGTCGCCATCTGAACTATCGATATTACACCATGTCAAATAATGGCTGAAGAGGAAGTGACGATACATATAGTATGGTTCTAATGTCTCCCTTGTGTCTGGTCGGTCTTTCCCATAGAGATATGAAGTTCAATTTCTCCTAACTGCATGGTGTTATCTATATTTCCTTTTCTCACAGATTTCTTTTCGCTCTGTATTTACTAAACCAAAAAGCGACGCCATGTTTTCCCATATGGTAATCTACAGTCTCTTCAGCTACGCAGTAGTTATAAATGCGTACACGACATTCGATACAACGTGTGCAATTCCAGCAAAATCAACCAACTATATCTCACCGCCCACCAGTCGAGGAACTCTGAATATCCTCTGGACATCTCTATTCACAATCATCATCTTTACATGGGCAATTCAGCATCTCAACGTACCCCAACAACGAGCCAATCGAGATTCAGGTTTGAAAGATGATGTAAAATGGAGAATCGGACGCTTCGCAACGAGTCTCAAATGGATGATAGCAACTTTCCTCGCTCCAGAGATCCTGCTTGCCAAAGCTTGGAGCGATCTCGATGTTGCACGGAAACAGCTTGAAAAATTCAAAGCTTGGGCTGCTGATGATGATGTCGAGTGGACATTAACTCATACTTTGTTTGCAAACATGGGGGGTTTTGTAATTCGAAGCGATCCACCATCAAGTGAGAATAATGATATCGAGGCCAAGCCTAGCGTTGCCCTTGACATTCTCGCGGGTCAGACACCACACCCACCTTCGACCGAGGTTTCTACCCCATTAATGGAATCATCTACCGGATGCGTGTCTTCAGATGCCAACGACGCCTCAATCCGAGTTAATGTTTCGGATCCAGGTGCTGCGACTACTACCCCTATCGATTATCCCAATCCATACCATCTAACCGCCAAACAAATCCTCTCACTTCGACGATGCGAGCACATCCGACTTCCCAACATCACCCTCGAAGAAATCAACGACAAAAGCAAAAACGACACTTTCATACGTATCGTCGCAACCACCCAATTCCTCTGGATCGTCGCCCAGCTCATCGTACGAGCAACAAAAGGTCTAGCAATCGCACAGCTCGAACTCGCCGCCATCGCCTTCGCCACCTGCGCCTTCCTCATCTACATCCTCAACTGGAGCAAGCCCAAAGCCGTCTCAACACCCTTTACAATCCTCTCCTACGAAGGACCCATTCCCACCCCCCTCCTCGAATTCATGAACAAAGATCTCGATCGTTCATCTATACTTGACATAATCCTCAACACCCCCTCTAGATCCCTCACATCCGGCATCCCCATCCCAAACGATACCATCTATCCCTCGTCCGACGAAGAAGAAGCCTGGCTCATCGGCTTCGAATTCGGCAGTATAGTCTTTGGGTGCATCCACGTCGCAGCATGGAACTTCACCTTCCCCACCCATATCGAACAGATTCTCTGGTGGTCCACCAGTATCTGGTGTACGGTATTCGTACTCATCTACACCCTGATTCCCTACTGCGCCATGATATGCTGCGGCGATATCCGAAAAATCGCGAAGCCGAGAAAATTAGCCTGGGGTGCGGCTCCCTTGTTCTTTATATATGCATTGGCGAGGTGTTTTTTGATGGTGGAAATTTTTAGGAGTTTGTGTTTTTTACCCCCCGATGCCTTTATTGCGACGACGATGGAGAATTTTCCGTATTTTGGTTGACGTGGATGAACTGGTCTGTATTCTTCGTGGGCATGTACTGGGATTGAAAAGAATGTATATAGTATTATGGGATAATTGGTGTTCATGTTAGCTTATGTTATCAATATGAAAGCAATAGTTTGTTATTTTCTTTAAATGTACTCTGACTTCTTTATCAAATTTAATCAGAGTGAAGTCGTGGATTGGTGAGGTAGACCCATCCAGTATAAAAGCTCAAGGTAGCAGAGCTGCAGAGGATGGACGTGGCTGTGGAGCCAATGACAGTTCTTCATCGCTCCAGTTGAATTCGCCTCATGTATAAAAAATGGACTTGGAAAATAAGGTATTCTGAGACAAGGACGCTACTTGTTATCGTGTGCTACACTGTACAGAACTGAAGAGCAGATATCTCGTATACAGAGTTCAAGAGATTGATTTTCGGAAGGTAGTTGCTTCAATTTCTCAATTAGTGTATACTATCTCATGATCATTAAGCATGCTACTAATTATTCATGTCCCAATGTTTCCCAATCCACCTCCGGTCCATCCTTCCGTTGTTCGCCTATACCGTAAGCGCCGAGTTTCAAATCTTAACCTCAGCAGGGATGTTGACGCTCTCAAGCTTGAGCCCCTTCTTCAATTCACTCTTGCTTGGCATCTTCCCTCTTCTCATCAACTCCGACGCTTGTGTCATGATTGGGTCAAATTGCATAGTAGCGACAGCAACGACAGTCTCCCCTTTACAATAGTAAGCCACAAACTTTGCTTTCTCTGGCTCGCCCTGCAACACTAGATCATCCCAACCATTGATAGTATTACCACAATATCTGAGTTGTGAACCGAGTGCTGACCAGAAAATTGGTATGAAGGCTTTAGGCTTTGCGGATGGATTGTTGATATGTGTGGCAACACTTCTTCCAGAATTCTGTGCCACGTTCCAGTGCTCAATTCGGGCCAAACTTCCTTCGCCACCAGGACCATGATATGGGTAAGATGCGATGTCACCAATAGCGTAAACATCTTTTAGACCCGAGACGAGGAAGTTCTCATCAGTTGTCAATGAACCATCTTCACGAAGTCGAACTGAGTTGTTGTCTTTCAGGTATTCCGTTGCAGGACTGATACCTGTTCCTAGGATCACCAAATCTGCTTCAAGGGTCGTACCGTCCTTCAATTGCACACCTCCAACTTTAGAAGAATCTGACTTCGATGGTACAGCCTTTTCAACACCAGCTTCCATATGGAACTTAACTCCATTTCCTTCCAAAGCCTTTTGGAAAATTCTGCCAACTTCGGCACCCATAACTCTCTCAAGTGGTGCGGATTCCATGCCAACGACTGTAACATCATTGTCCTTGGCTGTGGCATTTGCAACTTCCATTCCGATGAATGAGCTTCCAATAATGACAATCTTCTTATTTTTCTCCCCAATAGCCGCCACGATACCCTTCACATGATGAATATTACGGAGAAGAAATATATTACTCAATTCTTTGAAACCAGGCATAGGCAAACTCTTTGGAGATCCACCAGAAGCCAACACCAACTTTGAATAAGGGAAACTAGAAATTGAGCATGTTAGTGTCGTCTGAACAATTGGGTGCGTGTAGACCTCGTGCGGTTGTGTCGGATGGGAGCTGTAAGATTTCCAACTCCAGATGCAGTATCGTATCAATCGTGAGAAACACTTACGAGCTACCATTCTTCGTGGCTACCTTCTTTCCTGAGAAATCAATACTAGTAACAGTATCATTGACAGTTGTAATTGATCCGTCTTTGAACCAAGCTTCATCCCTCAAAGCAATTTTTGATTCATCATCAATGAGAGCTTTAGACAATTTTGTTCTATCAATTGGTAAGTATCCTTCGTTGCCGATCATGGTTATTGATCCTTTGAAGCCGGCTTCGCGAAGTGCTTCAAGTGTACTGAGAGCACCACTTCCACCGCCAACAATCACTACCTTTTCGGACCCGACTCCACCGGTAATTCTGATATTTGGTTTTCTGCGGCTACCCTTGATGGTCTCTTCTTCTCCTGTAACATATACCGAACCATTCTTTTCGGACAACTCAAACGAAGGGAGGGCATCGAGAGCAGGGGCATTTTCGATATCTCCATTGCTGGCATTAAAACATGCTGTCAATGGAAAGTTAGCATATCTCCTTTGATACGTCCAAGGTCATGAATATATACCTCCGTGCCATGGGCATGTAATACGACCGTCTCCAGTCAAAACACCGTTGACCAATGGAGCACCATAATGTGTACACTTATTGCCTACAGCCGTAACCTTTCCACCGACATTACATAATAGTACCTTTCCTCCTTCTACACCCTCTACTTCAATTTCTTTCTTCTCTCCCGGCTTCAAATCCAAGGAACTAAGATCCTTGAGCTTATATTCTTGTGCCATTGTTACTTGTGTAGTGGTGAACTGCTTTGCGAAGTTGCTATGCGGAACGTGGGGAACCAAAGAGCGAGAGATGAAAGCTTGTCGACTAAGATGTCTTAAGTTGTTGGGTACCAAAGATTTGAGAGCGTACATGAAAAGAGAAGAATTGGCAGATGATGCAGATGATGTAGATGAATGAGGAAGTACAAGAGAGGGGGGGGTACAGAGGTGGGGGGATATCGATTTGTTTTGTAGCTATGGCGTATTGATGGCTGCGAATGTGGCATGATGATGTCGTCGATTCATTCTCGATCGATTGTATTGGAGGAGTAAACTGCATGGTAATTCAGAGTCTTTCATTGGACGAGAGAGGAGCTTGAGCTCTTTCCCGGAATGTCGTCACTACTTTTAGTGGGGTCGTTCGAGAAGCTTTCGGATTGTGCCGCTTCATTGGCGGGATTATCGATAAGCTTAGCACTACTGTAGTACAGTTTGAGGTTTATTAGTCATTTCTTGTCTCAATAGGTAGGGAACTCGGTAGGTATTGGCTTTTGGTCCATCTGGGTTCTAGATGTAAATGGTTCGGAGGAGTGACCCAATATTTTATGTTTTATTATCACTGCATTTGAAAGTCATGAAATAGGATCGAAGGTTACTACTTCCCCGGTGGATACTAGGTTATAGGTACTGTCTATCCAGCTCGATTTTGTTCTCTTCTCATTACTGTCTTTAGCCTGCCCGCTGAGTTTGGAGAGAGTTGTGGACTATGCCGACTTTCTAGGTGTTACCGGAACATTTACCATCCATTGAAGGATTTCATAAATGATCTCTCCAACAGCAATACCAGTAGTCTCAGCTGAATTGTCATAAATTGGAGTGAATTCCACAACATCTGATCCCACAATCTTCAAACCTGCTTCTGATAGCCCTCCAATGATTTGCAACAGCTGTGTTGTGAATGTTAGCCAATGTAAAATTGTCTACCGGGGTTGGAACATTACCTCTCTTGTGGTCCATCCACCAGGTTCAATTGTTCCAGTTGCAGGTGCGTAGGCTGGATCCAATACATCAATATCTACACTCAAGTACACGTACTCATCACCAACGCGTTCAACAATCTTTCGAACTACCTCTTTGATGCCAAGCTTATCAATCTCTCTGGCTCGAATGTATGTGAATCCGCATCTGAGATCGTTGTTCAAATCAAAATGTTGATCCTGAAGCGGACATCGTGTTCCTAGATGCATATTGCGATGATTTGACAAAAGCCCTTCCTCATGGGCAATGTGTAACATAGTTCCATGATTGACATCGGTGTACTTTGAAAGCCCACCACCAAGCTGTACCGGATCCCATGTATCAAGATGGGAGTCGAAGTGTAAAACAGCAACACGTCCCCATGTTGAGTGCAGAGCTCGAAGAATAGGTAACGCTGAGCAGTTCAATATTCAAGAGCACTCAAGCCATTCATGATCAAGGAGACTTACTGATGGTATGGTCACCACCTATGCTAATGGCCCGTATAGCCTTGCCATCGGTATCATTCTTTGGACTTCGCGAGTTGATTGATTTCATGCCATTCTCGAGTTGTTTCAAAGCCAAATGCTTATCAAATGGCGTATTCGAAATGTCTCCACAATCAACCACAGTGGCCCAGTCGCGGAAAGGATTCACGTTATTTTCAATACTAATGATAGTCAGAGTTTTCGTCCTGATAGCCTATTTGAATGACCACACTTGCCTCCACCCAAAACCCGGAGACATCCTTCTGGCCCCTTGCCGCGCAGCATTCGGACCAAATCTTGCACCAGGCCTATATGTGACTCCTAGATCAAATGGATGGCCTACGATTGCCACATCGAATGTTCCATCATTCTCGGCATCAAAACAGTCCACCGCAGGTAGATGGGCAAATGTTCCACCTGCGTTGGATATTACATCCTCTTCCTCGAAAGTCCTCCATTCAAATGATGGTTTTAATGCAACAGGTTCTTCTAATCCTAAGAACCCATTTTCATGAGGGGCAAAAATAGATGAGGCTACGAAATTTCGATGTTGGTTGTTGGTAAGTTTTAGTGGTCGCTGATATGGCCCTGAAGGAGCGACGGTTGTGATTGCAGCGGGTAGGAGTGTTAAAAATGGGATTAGAGAATAAAACATTGTGATAACTTAACTTTGATCTAATAGTTAGGATAGGAAATTCCTTCACTATGTATTTTTGTACCGATAAGTTACTCGTTGTCGGCATTGATATACATGTGTGATAAATGTTATGTAGTAATCGCTGAAGATCCTGAGGTCTTGATGCTTTGGACAACTCATGGTTGATCTAGATTCAGGAAGTCCATGCGAACCCCACTATTTTACCAACAGACGGCTGGACCTCATCGTCAACCGTTCATCTAATGTACCTACATCATCAATGAAGTACCTTCTTGTTCTATTTTGCCAGAAGAGTCATACACAGATTGGAATTCGTTTGGGCCTCCAAATACTCGGTGAGGCAATGAGGCTTTGTGCTTACAATGATTAGTCATGTGTTCAAGTAATCCTGGCCGTTTGCTCAACCTCGCACGAGTGCCGACATCAGCCACTCTTCACAGATTGGACATCTTATCACAATGATTG